AGGGCTTGTTAATTCTTATCACTGACACTGGTGAGGATCCTATCTCTTCCTGGCTTCTGAGGCCGCGAGGCCTTATGAATGGCTGCAAACAAAGGCCCAAACACCTTCCAGATGTTTTCAAGGGAGAGGCCGTCTTGGAGCCCTAGCTCATTGAATCAGCGTGGCCCAGGCCCAGAAACTTCTGATGAGTCAGTTGCTCTCAGCCACTGCATTCCCTGGACCCTACCTTTGGTGGTATGGCTTGGTGGGGGGTGGGGAGGCATCCTGGAGGTTCATTGGTTCTCACAACATCGACCTGTGATTCATGAACAAGATGGCGTGAGGGAGCGGGGTAACTATGTCCCCAGGCATGACTTCCTCAAAAACAAATCCCAACAGCTCAACTCATCCTCTGGGGTCAGGGACCGCCCGTTTACTGGAAGGGGGCCTGCAGTTATTTATTTCACATCTGGCAAGGCTTTTTATTGTGGCTACGAGCAGGGAGTCAGGGAAATGCTAATTTGAGAATGAATGGATGGATAAAAGGATAGACTGGGAAACATCTTCAAAATGAATTCGACAGTGCCCACACCTCCCATGGGCCTCTTCTCTTTTCTAATTCGGACTGAGGCCGCCTTATTTTTCTCCTTCCCTTAGGAAAAATGGATGGCCTGGACTTCCAGATTCCTGCCCCCACCCCATGCCCATCTTCCTGGAAACGCCAAAAAGGGAGGCCAACACCTGACACGGCTCAGACTCTTCCGATGAGGCAGGGGGAGGTGGTGGTGCAGGGGGTTGTGCGTAGAGACCAACTAAAGGCAGTTAGGTAGGTTTGAACCCACCCAGTGGTGCGGTGAAAGAAAAGCCACTCAGGGATCAGTAATGATTACAGCCCTCTGGAGCCATGATGCTTTGTAGCCCGTGGGGTTGCCACGAATCAGTATTGACACCACAGTGTGGCTTGTCCTCTTTTCTGGATCGGGATCAAGCAGCTGTGAGGCCAGAAGAAGGTTGGACAGCCCTGGCTGGGAGAGGCTTCTTGTTTCGTTGCTGGGGCTGAGCATTTAGATATTGGGAATGTGGCAGCGCTAGTGCAGGGTCACTCTGAGCTGAAATTGACTCGATGGCCATGAGCTTGCTTTTGTTTTCGTTTTTTTCCCCTTAGGGGAAGATAAAGGCCGGCTCCCTTTCCATCACAGCCAGTCGATGACTGAGGGTGGCCACAACTCAGAGGAGGCCTTGATACTTGAGGACCAGGTGTGGAACCACTGCCATCATTCCCACCCAATAGTGCTCACAAAATGTAAGGTGGTTTCAAGTCAGGGGCTGGAGCTCCAGTGGTGCCTGGTGAATTTATTGTGAAATCCCATTCAAAGAAATGTAGGTTTGGGAAAGGCCTTTGAATGCAGTCAGACCCAAGACCGTGGAAACATAGGGTTTCCTGGAGACACCTCAAGGAGTCTCCATCTAGTCTAGTAGGGATCGTAGGGTGGGGCTGAGTGGGGGTGGTAGATGAAGCTGGAGTCTAAAATCTCAGGTTAGAGCGACAAGCTACATGGATCCTTTATGGGGCTAGTCCCTCCTCTATTCCTTCTCAAATAACGAATGACACTTTTGCTGATGTGTGCTACTAACATAGGGTTGACCTTGAGGTGGGGAGGAGGGCAGGCAAGATTACATGGAAGATCTGACATTTGAGATTCTGAGGTGCCCCCTCCCCTTTTAAACAGTTCAATTAGGACATATCCACATATCATACAATTCAATAGTTTAGTCATTTCAAGAAGAGTTGCACAATCGAGATGTCCCCTTTTGTTGTCCCTTATACCTCTCATTACAAAGACCTCAGTTTCAAATAAATAGCAAATTAGAATACAACCTATTGAGTAAAGATGAATTGGCCACTGACCTGGATTTAGCTTCAGGTTAATGACAGATGGAATTTTCCAGGCAGAAAAAGGAAGGACGACCAGTTAGAAAGCATTTGGGAATGAGAAGTGTGTTCTAGAGTGTTGGTGGGAGACAAGGCTGGCGAACTGAATCTAGGCGGTTGTCAGAGAGCTTGTGAGTCTAGGCGCAGGGCAGCCTGGGAGGCCTTGGGGAAGGCGAGGAGCAGGAGAGACTTTTGGCTCCTCAGACCTTGTTTTCAATGGCCAGAGCCCCCATTCATCAGCGTGCCCTGCTCTAGACATTCCCTGAGTGGTGGTGGGGTCTTGGTCACAGTCCAAGAAGTGCCTCACGGAGCTTCTAGCTGTTTGCATTCTGGGAAGGCCAGGGGCCCAGAGGAAGGACACTAGGGAGTCGTGTGTAGGTGGCTTGTGAAGAAAACACCCTGAAGACTTCAGACGGGAAGTACACTGGAGGCAGTGTACTGACTGTGTCCTGATGTGGTTATCAGGCATCCACTATGTACTATGACCATGCGAGCATTTGTGCCCAGAGGTCCTCTCTGAACCTGTTGCTGCTTACACACGTGTGAGGTGTGCTCCTGTCTTCAAGAAGCTTACAGTTTGCAGAAAGAAATTAATGAATCTAAGAAAACATTAAACTTGTTGCCTTGAGCTCATTCCAACGCTTAGTGACCCTGTGGGGCAGAGAAGAACTGTCACACAGGGCTTCCGAGACGAAAATCTTGATGGGAGAAGATTGTCACATCGTTCTCCGGGGGAGGAGCTGGTGGGTTCAAACCCTTGACCTTTTGGGTAGCAGCCGAGGGTCCCCAGGGCTCCTAATGCCTCCCCAAGACCACATGGTGGTGGCACCAGGGTGATCACAGTGTACTGATTTTGTGGGTGTCCTTCTTATTAGCTCCCTCTCCCAGATCACCCTCCCTTTGAGGTCCTGACATTCACATGGATACTGTGACAGTGTACTTTTCAGAGTGAAGAGCATGAGGTGCATACAGATACGAAGTGGACCCATGATCACGAGTGAAGAAATCAGTCATATGTGAGACAAGTTCCAAAGGGAATTCAAGGAAGGGACATTTACAGCTGGTCAGTCAGCGGCGTCTGAAGTGAATTAGGTGAGAGGTCGGCTAATGGAAGACAGGGAACCCGAAGCTTCAGGCACCACCGTTTCTTCTAGACTGAAGTCTGTAATGCTGTTGAATGAAAATGCCATGTATTGTTTGCAAGCATCACTTCTATTGGTATTTGTTTTCTACAAGTTCATTTTTTTTAACAGAGTGGGAACAAAAAATATCCCTAATCAATCGAAATCAAACAAAGGAACCGCTTGTGATAACTCTGATAGTCCCCCGGCTTGGTAACTTTGGTCAATGCCCTCCCTGCATTATGTGGATTGAAAGTGTACTCAGTAATTTCTTTTGCCTATTTTCCAAGTTTGGAGAATTTTTCTTAGCACTGCTGTGTGTGTGTGTGTGTGTATACACACTACTTTTCTGAGTGTGTTTCTGTCCGGGTATGTGGTGGAGAGGGAGTGGGTTCACACTCATTTAGCTTGATCAGTTTGAGGAACCTTGGCAACACTGGGGTGATGTCTCCAAAAATAGATGTACTGGTCTCATCAGCTGAGGGCAAAGGGGCCATGTTTACAAAATTGGAGAGAGGGTCCTCCAAGTGCAACCTGGGCCCAGGGGAGGAATGAGCCTTCTTTCTGTATTTCTGCTCCCAGTGTTTTGGGAATCACAAGACATGCCTGGCTACCTGTTTCTCAGAGAGGTCACAGTCCTGAAAATGCAACGACTGAGCAGGTCTACTCTGCATACAAGGGCCAGTGAGTGAGAATCACCTCCAGGGGAATTAGCTACCACAGTAACATCCTGGGGTGGGCAGGGAGAAGAGGATTACCTGGCTGAGGCCAGGAAGGCCGAGCAAAGGAAACCTTTTGCTTCTAGGAGGGCTTCTCAGGACTGCTTTGGGGCCTCTGGTGGCCTCTGCTCCTCCTCTAAGGCTTTTCCGAGTCCTTAGGCAGCAAGAGGACTGTTCACATGTGAGTGGCATTTTAAAGAATACCAAGTGCTTCTCCCCAACCTCCTTGCATTCTTGCCCAAATCTTGGTAGATCTTCTGTCTCAGAAGTTCTGTGACTCACCCAAGGTCATGTCACACCTGGAAAGGAGAGGATTCAGAATTCAGATACAGACGTTCCAACTCTGAAAATTCCATGTTTTCCCAGCAAATCCCAACTGGCCTTTTCTGACATTTGTGTGCCTCTCCCTGGAGCATTCCACACTGGGATCCCCATGTCTATGGATTGGAAGGAGCGAGCGCCTGTGAAGATTTGCTTTGCCTTAGCCGACTGGCCTGACACGGACCCCTCCCCATCTGCCAGATGTAGGCTCTTTAAATGTTGGTGCTTCTGGACCTTGGACCCCTGAGCAGTGGCTTTGAATATTTCAATCGGATAATTAGAGAAGAGTAAGCAGTATGGTCAGAGTTCTTTGGATGTGTTGTCAGGAGAGACCAGTCCTTGGAGAAGGACATCCTGCCTGGTAAAGCAGATACGTAGTGACAAAGAGAAAGTTCCTTGACCAGATGGAAGGACACAATCGCGGCAACCATGGGCTCACGCGGAGGAACGACTGTGAGGCTGGTGCAGGGCCAGGCAGTATTTTGTTCGATTGCGCATAGAGTCGATGTGACTCCGAACCGACTCAGTAGGACCTCACGTCCATTGCCATCTCTTTGGGCCTCAGACTTTCATTTACCCAACCAATATGGGTGAGGGGGTGGGGGTGGGGGAAATAACCAGCTGTTACTCTAAGCCCATCCCATCAGCGTTGATCTGACACTCTGAGTTCACCATCGGCCTTGCTCCATCCTTCGGCACCACGGTGGCCTCATCAACTGATAACAGGTTCTTCTGAACTTCCTCATATTCCTTTCTCCTTACCCGACAGCCTGCAAAGTTTGACAAGTAGCTGTGAGCAGGACATTCTTCTGCATAGCTGAGAGCCCAGATCCGGGCATTTGGGCAAGTTGGGAAGGATGAGGCAGGGCAGCGACGTATGTAAGCAGAAGCAAGTGCTCACGCCTTTGATTCTCTGTTGCAGGACCTAACATCTGCACCACCCGAGGCGTGAGCTCCTGCCAACAGTGTCTGGCTGTGAGCCCGATGTGTGCCTGGTGCTCAGACGAGGTAAGGAGCAGACACGGATCTTTCTTCTTTCCTAGACTGAGCAGCTTTTATGTAGGAATGGATCCACAAACAAGCCCCTGGGGCAAAACTAGGGTAAAACCTTGCCCACGGATGATGGCAAAGCCAGCTCCCCTGGGGGTGCTGCTGAGAATGCCACCCAGAGCTGACCCCGTAGCCAGAGCCTCACCACACATCGCTCCCTCTTTGTCGGGGCGGAATAGCCCAGGGAAGCAGGGCTTCAAGGCTCCAAGGAGAAGCAGGGGTGGGTATAGGTGTGGAGAAGGCGCTGTCCTGCAGAAAACGCAGCATCTCAAGAGGAATCTTCCACATGTGTGACAGTGGTGGGACGGGGGCACTTATCTCTCCTCTCTTCCTCTCTGGTGACCGGAACCCCCTGCCCCCACCCGAGCTTTGCCCTTTCCCTTCTCCTCCTCTTCTTCTCGTGGTCTTGTGGTCGGTTCCTCTCTTGGGAATGAGGAAGGAGCTGGGCTGATTTGGGAAGGTGATGAGGCTTCTGGGTGGGGGCAAGTGGTGAAGGCACGTTGGGTCATTCACCAAAAGCTCAGGGCCCTTGAAGAGGCCCCTCAGAAGAATGGGCTGGCATTCTCCTTCTGAAAACCACAGCCCTCGAGAACCCTATGGCGTCCACGTGTACCTGACACGCATGAGGTGGCCGTGAATGGGCACAGACTGGACAGCAGTTGACTTGGGAGGGTGACAGGAAAGGGTTAGCCGTGTCTAGGCTGAGGGTTTGTTGTGTCTGGGGCCCTGGGGGATGAGTGTGTCTGAGGGAATGGCTGTGTTTGCGGCTGGGATGGGAATTTGGAGCTGGCAAGAGCCGGTGGGTGACGGGCTGGAGAGGTTCCCGGTGATTATAGAGTCTGCGGCCGAGTCACTGTCCTCTCCCCTCCCCCCGTGCCCCCCTAGGTGATTGGTTACCTGAGCTCCGGACCTGGTGGCTTCACCACTGAGGCAGCTGCTCTGTCATAACACCAGGTCCAGGCCCTTTCTGCGGTTTCCATGACCACCCCCTCCTCCGGGCCGTTCTTTCCCATGGTCTGCTTTCTCCTCCAGACCTAAAAAGGCAAACTCCCTGCCTGCCAGGCTGAGGTGGAGGGGCGGCGGGGGAGGGGGAGCAGGAGGAGGAGCTGGGAGGCCTCGGTGTTTGTCCCTCAACAGCAAGACAGGGCCAGAACAGAGGTGGCCTCACAGTGCTTTGGCCTCTGCGCTCAACAGCAGGGGCACTGCTCCCGGAGGCAGCGGCCTTCATTTAGCAAAGGGAATATTCCCTGGGGCTGGGCTAGGGCTGGGGAAAAGGGGTGAGGCCTTCCTCTTGGCCCAGGCCAGCCTTTGCTCCTCTCTGTGCTGAGCTGAGCTGGGCTTGGGCTGGGCGGGGCATGATGTGACCACCTCCCTTCACTTTTGGCGTGCCTTCCTCCCCTTGGCCTCCTTTATGATATCATTAAGCTTACACTGCAAGGAAGTTGCAATTCTGCAACTGAATCCTGGCACGGGAGAGAGGGAAGGGTGTGCTCCATGGCGAAGCGGCCTGGTTTGGATCAGGGATGGGAGCCAGCTGGAACAGAGAGGTCTGGGAAGGGAAGCCTACCGCCCGCTCAGTGGAGCCTCTCGCGTTCCCTCTTTTTCAACCCAGAGCTCAAACTCACTGCCATCGAGTCCATTATGACCCGGATGTAGAAGTGCCCCAGAGGGTTTGCGAGACTATAACCCTTGAAGGGAGGAGAAAGTCTTATCCATCTCCCACAGAGCGGCTGATGGAGTTGAACTGCTGACCTTGTGGTCACATCCCAACATGTGACCCACTACGCTACTAGGGCTCCTCCTGCTTTCAATCCAAAGCAAGAGAAAATGCAGGCACCTGGCTTAGAGGAGCCAGGGAAAGAAGAAGACATATTCTTAGAGGTCTGCCCTCTTCTGCCCCACCCTCATTCATGTTTCACGTCATTGGATTTGCATAAGGAGAAATCAGGTATGCTGAAATCCAACTGGCCAGAGCTCTTGAGTCACATGACCAGAGTTTTGTGATACCAGTATCGAATATTTATGGATGGCCGCAGTGAATCTGCCCTCTAAGACAGACTGGGTGAGAACAGATAGGAAGGCCCAAGGTGGGATGAAAGGATGAGGTGTAGGAACAGCCTAGGGGTGGAGTTGGGGTGGGAGAGGACATGGGTGTAACTAGGACCAGATAAAAACAAGGGGAAATAGAAAATCCAGCGAGATAGTCTCTGGGAGAATGGACGCATGGAAATCTGGGAGGCCAACGGTTAAGTGAGTCACAGTACCTATCACTAAGCAAGGAGGGAGGGTACGGGCAGAGGAGCGAGGTTAAAAGAGATAGGTACGGGACAAAATGTGTCCACCAGGGAGGAATGGGAGTGGGAATCCTGCGGTGTGACCTGAACAGACTGCCTACTGTGTTTTTCCTGAGCAGCACTTCCCTGGGCATGCATGGAGTTTAGTGGCTGAAGCTGCCATAACTGTTGACCTACCAAGAAAAGACAAGCCATGGGGCCATTTTGCATGAACTTGGTTGCACCACTGACCCTGGAGACCCCCTTGCCTTGTGCTCCTGCTTCCTCTGCCTTGGGTCGGCAGCGCCTTGCAAAACAACTGGTTGGGCTTAGCTTTCCCGTGGTCACTAGAGGCCAGCAGTTCTGGGTGTGTATAATGATCGCTTGGCGGGGAAATAGGAAAACATAGCCAACGTGGATGAAAATGGAGTTTGGGGCTCATCAGCGCATAGGGTGTGTTTCTGGAGAGTTGAAGGCTACATGGGTTGATGTGCTGTTCCGGGGCTGTGAATCTGACAAAGTAGCCTGCTTCATGCAGAGACTCAACGTGTGCTCTTGACCTTGGGAGTACTGAGCTGGAAGTTGGAACCTCTCAAGCCCTGGTGGTGAGGCTCATTTGGACTTGCTGCCTCAGATTGGGTCCTGAGGATGGCAGGTTTGCCAGGGGATGATCAAGGTGAATGAAAGTGGAGTGAGGTCTCCAGATAAAACATAGGATGTTACCTTTGAATTAAACAAGGAAAAAACCTTTTTTTCCCCCAGTATAAATATGTTCCAAATATTTGCTAAGTTTGGCAACCCGAAGGTGGAGGGAACGAAGAAGAGTTCTATTATAGGCTTGAGTGTACATTAGCAGGTGGGCCAGCTGACATTCAGCCCAACACGAAGAGGGTGTGTGAGTTTGGGGCTAGCAAAGTAGAAGAAGACTTCAATAGGACTTATTCCTCTTTATCTTCTCTATCCTTATAGGGAACACGTTAGGGATAGACTACGAATATTCCATTTTAGCGACTCATAATTAACAAAACTTCTCTGTCTCTTTCTTTATACACTTTCCTTTTTTTTTTTAATCTGAGGGATAAATGTTCATCATGAGAATGTCCCAGGCAGTTTGCTCCTAATCATTATTGCTAATAAAAGTAGGATTTTGTAGTTCTTCTCCCCTGTAAACAATGAGATGTGAATACCTGTGACTCTGGACCCCGAGACCCGTTCATTTCCTCTCCTCCGCTCTGCTCTGCATGTTCAAGTCGGGGCTCCTTGTCGCCACCAGGCAGATCCATCAAGGTGACAGCGTTACCGTCTTTGGGGTGGAGGTGGCGCTTTGATAGTTCTCCAAGAAAACAAGTAGGCTAGCAAACAACGTGAACAAACACAGCAACAACAAAGCCAACCTGGCCACATTGGCCTTTGTCGTCCAGGAAAGGCACAGGCGGCCAGAGAGGAGTTGTAACAATGGGAAAGAGCCAGAAGGCCTGGCTGCACAATAGCTAAGCCCTCAGCGGCTGTCCAAAGGCTGGCGGTTTGAACCCAGTGACTCCATGACTGGGCGACGTGTTGATCCCCTTCCATAAAGATAACGGCCAAGAAAACCTTGGGGGCTGGTTCTGCCCCAGCCCATTGGGTCACTAGCCGAATGAACTTGATGACCCAACCAGCATATGTAAGAAATCATCTTACATACGTATTCATACGTAGCTCTTGAAAGCATTTCACGATCACAGTGCTAGTTTTGTCTCTGACCTACCCTGTGAGGTAGGCCTGTGAATAAGCCTTATTCATTCTGGACTTCCCCAGTTCGTAGGAGTCACGGAGAGTGCGTGGTCCCGACTGTGTGTCACTCTCTGAGGAAAGGGAGGTGGCTCAGCAAGCTCCCCCCACTGGGGGGTTGGAGCCTTGTACAGCTCTGCTCGGGATCATCCCTGGCTCTTGGCTATTGCTCTACTCCATGGGAAACACCCCGTTTCCCTGGGAACAGGGACTTCTAATATTTCTCCCCTTCCAGCTTTCTCTCTGAGTAACCTGGAGACAGTCTTTCTACCCACTCATGCTGTGACACTTAGAAATGGAATGCTGTCCAAGTGTGTTGAGGTCACCACCTTCGTGTCCTTCTGGGGACGGGAGGCTCTCAGGGAGAGCTGGGCTGAGAAGGCATCCTGGTATGTTGTTCCTGACCTCTGATGTCAGTGACGACAGAGGGAGTGAGGGAGGAAGGCAGTTTTTGTTTCGTGGTGTTTATATTTCTAAGGAAATTCATAACAAAACATAAGGACTATCACCAGGGCCCAGCACTTCAAACTCTTTTCTGGTAAGGGCTGTCATGTTGGAACATGAGGGCCAAGAACACCCACTCAGAAGCATTCTCCCCCTCCACCCGTGCAGCCGGGGATGTACAGTGGCCTCCCTGGCTACCCCATAGCCGTGTTCCTAATCCATTTCTTTGTCTCTCCCCTTTCCCTGCCTTGGCTTATCCAATTTCAGCCAGACCCCAGAGCTTCTGTGAGTCTCGTTCCAGGCCACTGCCATCAAGCAATTGTTTTTGCTTTCTCGGTGCACATAAAAGTTATGCATCCACTACACGGTAATCTATTGAGTGTGCAATAGCATAATGAAAAAAATGTAAATATCGGGGAAATAACCAAAATGTGACACAGAGACATGGCGTGAACGCATGCGGTTGGAACATGACACCGTTAGACTTGTTCAGTTCAGGGTTGCTATAAACCTTCACCTTGGAAAACCTGCGGTGAAGTCAAGCATGCTAAAACGAGATCTGCATGCTTTGTCTCTCTGGGACTTTGTGGGTAGTTGGCATCAGAAACAAGATGTGTGTGTGTGTTGTGGGTACCAGGAGCCTGATGGTGTATTGGGTTATGCATTGGGCTGCTAACTCCAAAGCCAGTAGTTTGAAAACAGTATCCACTCTGTGGGAGAAAGATGAAGCTTTCTACCCCCATAAAGAGTTACAGTTTTGATAGTGGGCGGGGAGGAAGCATTTAGGAACTAGAGGAAAGTTGTATGTTTCATCATTGCTACACTGCACCCTTCTACCTTACAAATCTGGCTAGACCAGAGGATGTATGTACACTGGTACAGATAGGAACTAGAAACACAGGGAATCCAGGGTGGATGATCCCTTCAGGACCAGTGGTGAGAGTGGCGATACTGGGGAGGTCAAGGGAGGGTGGGGTGGAAAGAGGGAACCAATTACAGGGATCTACATATAACCTCCTCCCTGGGGAACGGACAACAGAAAAGTGGGTGAAGGGAGATATCGGACAGTGTAAGTGACAAAATAATAATTTATAAATTATCAAGGGTTCATGAGGGAGCGGGGAGTGAAGAGGGAGGGGGAAATGAGGAGCTGATGCCAGGGCAATGTTTTGAGAATGATGAGGGTAACAAATGTACAAATGTGCTTGACGCAGTGGATGGATGTATGGATTGTGATAAGAGGTGTATGAGCCCCGAATAAAATGATTTCAAAAAAAGAGTTACAGTCTTGGAAACCACAGGGGGCAGTTCTACCCCGTCCTCTAAGGTCCCCATGAGTCAGAATCAACTTGATGGCAACGGGTTTGAGGTCTATAGGTTTAACGTGTGGGGCATGGGGTTGGAGAAAGAACGCGCTACCTCCTGAGGGACGAGAGTTGGGAGAAGTGGGGCAGGGGCAGCACGAGCCGTCTGGGCGCAAACCCCCCAAGTGCTTCTGTTTCTCCCTGCCATTTTGTTGTTGGCCCGAGTTGGGTGTGGGGAAGGGATTCCCATCGCCTTCAGAGACTTGTAGGCTCTGAGGGGTTCACTGTTGGCATTTTGGGGCTGGGAAGGTTAAGTCTTAGGCACTGGTTCCCGCTGCCAACACCATTTTTCTGCGAGAAAGAGGGAAGCTGCTTGCTTCCAGGATCTCTTTCCACTGTTTGCCATCGGCATTGCTCCTTTTCACGTCCACGTGGGGCATGTTCAGCACATCCAGAGCACTGGGTGGGAGAGGGGAAGAGATTTCATGTGCCAGGAGGGGTTTTTCTACTTCAGAAGCTCTCCCTCCCCATTGAAGGGCTCCTCCTGGCCCTGTCTCTCTCCTGGTAATACCCACAGGTCACCCGAGGGGCCTGCCAAGGCGAGGCATTCATTGCCCCCCACACTTCCCACATCCTGGTGTGGGTCTTCCTAGGACCAACCCTTTCCACGCTCCTGCTTTTCTGTCGGGGCCTCACTTGATAGAGGTCATGAAATTGACCATTTATGAGGATTAATTAGGTCAGACAATCTAGGTGACCATCACAATCCTGTCACTTCTCAGCTCTCCATCTTTGAGCGAGTAACTTTTTAAAATCTCAGATTCCTTACTTGTAGAATTGGGCTCCTCATTTATTAAGTCTCCAGGTCTCAGGTTTCTCAAAGGCAAAATAATAATCGCTCCAGATGACAGAATCATCAGGGCGGCGATTGCAATACTACACCAAGGACTTACCACAGTGCTGGCACTACAGTAACTAAAAATCCCTAAAAACTCACTACTGTTGAGTTGATGCCAACTTACAGTGACTCTTACAGAACTGCCCCCGTGCGTTTCAGAGACTGTATGTAGTTCTTTATGGGAGTAGAAAGTCCCATCTTTCTCCGAGGAGAGGCTGGTGATTTTGAACTGCTGACCTTGCAGTTAGGCAGCCCACTGGGTCACCACTACGCCCCCAGGGCTTTACAGGAAGCATCCAATAACTGTTGACAATAGTTGTTCTGGGTTACTGGTAGGAGTTCTCTCGCTCCTTCTAGAAGTGGATGCAAGAGGGGACAGGGGTAGGGTGAAAGGCCAAGGCCAGAATAGGTCTAGGTAGGGATTTTCCAACTGTCTGACCAGTTCCCGAAACCTGGCCCAGAGCCCTCATGGACCTGTGCCCGCACGGTGCTGGCTAAATTTACTGTCAGAGCAGGAAGTGACAGAATCCAGCCATCTCAACTCATTCCTTTTTTCTTACAAATGAGAAAACTGAGGCTCAAAGAAATGACTTTGATGTTTTGAGCGAAGATCTCTTAGGTGGATTTCTGATGAAAAGGAGAAGAAAAAAGTGGAACAGAACTTCAAATTAATAGGAAACCAGTCTTTCTGCATCCATTGAGACTGGGGGAACCCCCCAATTGATTGCCTAGAAATCTTTAAACTTTGAACCAAAAGAATCTCATCAAGCCATCGTTAAACTAAACAACAGTTTAGCTCAATTGATAAAGAATGTTTGCTTTGAACACTGTGTTCTTCAAAACGAGTATTTACAGGTGTTCACGCTGACAACAGTTCATCTGAAGCACAGAGAACTTTAAGGGGCGGGGAGTTTCCGTGCAAGATGATGAAACAATATGGATGGAGCGGGAATGGTGACTCCAGGGGAAGAATGTGACCAGTGTCATTGAATTGTACAGGTAGAAATTGTCAATGGATGTATGTTTGGTTTTGTGTAGTCTACCCAAAAGAAGAAGACAAAAACGGTCCTGAGATCACATGGCTAGTTCGTGGCAGATCTAGTGTGGAATCTGTTGCTGATTTTCTTGGCCCGCATTCCAGATATGTACAGCCAGATACGCACATACAGCCACTGTCCTCATGAATCTCAGCCTAGCAGTGACTAACATAACATTTTCTAATGTTTTGACCCTTACCTGTAAAGAAGTGTATTATACAATATTCACTTTTACTACATAGACACCTGGATAGTTTCTATCTGATTCTATAAAAGCAATAGGTAGTAAGTAAGATGTATATTTAATAAAGTGATGGTGAAAGTCACAAAATAGATTTTGGGACTCATAAATGACTTTCATTTTTAAAAAATTTCATAAATCATATTATTGGGGGCTCTTACAGATCTTATAGCAATCCTTACATCAATTGTATCAAGCACATTTGTACACATGTTGCCATCATCATTTTCAAAATATTTTCTTTCTGTTTGAAACCTTGGTATCAGTTCCTCTTTTGTCCCTACCTCCCACACCCTCCTGCCCTCTTGGACCCCTGATAAATTATAAATGATTATTATTTTCATATCTTATACCTCCCACTATCTCCCTTCACCCGCACTATTGTTGTTCATCCCCCTGGGGAAGTGGGGGGGTGATTATACATCATTGTAGTTGGTTCCCCATTTCTCCCCTTTCTCGCCCTTCTCCCCACATCTTCCCCCTACCCTCATGGTATCGCTACTCCCATTACTGTTCCTGAAGGGTTTATCTGTCCTGGGTTCCATGTGTCGAGAGCTCTAATCTGCATCAGTGTACATGCTCTGGTCTAGCCTGATTTTTAAGGTAGAGCTGGGGTCATGATAGGGGGGTGGGGAGTGGGGAAGAGGAAGCATTAAAGAACTAGAGGAATGTTGTGTGTTCCATCGGTTCTATGCTGCACCCTGGCTGTCTCGTTCTTTCCTTGTGACCCTTCTGTGAGGGAATTTCCAATTGTCTACTGATGAGCTTTGGGTCTCCATTCCCATCCCATCATTTACATCAATATATTTCTTTACTTTGGGTCTTCTGATGTCTGATCCCCGATCCTATCGATACTTTGTGATCACACAGGCTGGAGTGAATCTCCCATGTGGGCTTTGTTACTTCCCTGCTAGATGACCGCTTGTTTAACTTCAAGCCTTTAAGACCCCAGACACTTTACCTTTTAATAGCTGGGCACCATCAGCTTTCTTCATCATTTAGTATGGTGAAGTGTTTAGTATTGCTTATGTACCCATTTTGACTTCAGCAATTGTGATGACTTGCATTTTAGTGTTTAAAAAATTAATCAAAAAAAGTAATCATATTTATTAATTTTAAGTGCTACTGTTCATTAATAGTAAAGGAGTGGAGCTTTACATTAGTAGAACATTTTACAGTTTTAAAAATACTTCAGAAAAAAAAAAAATACTTCAGCCCAGCGGCATCTTACTCCTGTTAGAAAGCACCACAAAGAGACAGAAAACACCACGTCATCTTGCCTTGTTACATTACAAGTGAGGAAACTGAGCCTCAAAGGAATGGCTCTGACATTTTGAGTAGGGACCCAGTAGATCCTCATGACCAGTCTCCAAGTAGGCACTCATTCAGCCTTTCTGAGTTCTCATTTCCCCTCTTCTATCCAGTGGGTCTAGGTATTATCCTGGGAAGTTCATACCAGTTCACTTAGCTAGGGGCCCAGAGGGTTGGGTAACAATAAGACATTAGGGAGTGGCCGAGGGTTTACAGAGCTCTGACCAGAGGGTTTCTCCTTGGGCTCCCATCTTACAGGCCCTGCCGGTGGGTACACCTCGTTGTAACTTGAAGGACAACCTGCTGAAGGACAACTGTGCCCGGGATTATATCGAGTTTCCGATCAGTGAGGCCCTGATCCTGGAAGCTAGACCTCTCAGTGACACGGGCTCTGGAGACAGTTCACAGGTTACCCAAGTCAGTCCCCAGCGGATTGCACTACGGCTACGACCAGGTATGGATGGGCTTCTTCTCAAGGGGAGACACCGTGCAGGTCGGCACAGGACACAAGATGGGAACAGGAAGTTGTCTAAGGGAAGCAGCTCAGAAAGGAGATGGGGGAAGGGGAGCAAAGCAACCTGGGAGCGCGGAGATGTGAGCCAGGGAATAGAAGAAAATGGAGGGTTTGGGGACTTGAAGTCTGATCTGAGTTTGAATTGACTTCATATATAAACTGTTTGACCTTGGGCAAAGGAAGTTTGCTCCTTTTTGGCCCCAGCGCCTGTTTTCACCTACCTTATAGATTGTATTGAGATTCAAATTAGATATGGAATGAAAATACAGTTTGTCAGCCCCATTTCTGTGTGAGATTGAGGCAGAAAAAAAGAGGCTTTGCAGATGAAGGCAGAATTAGGGTAAGAGACCGCCTTTTGAAAGCATTGATTTGGACTTTCTCATTAAATCAAGAATGTAAAAGTGTTCTTACTACGTGCGAGGCATGTGTTAGCTGCATTGGTTTCAGAGAATGGGGGATCCAGTTCTTGCCTTTTACAGAATCTGAAGTGTAGTAACTGCTGACCACTCTGATTCCGGGTGGAGTCTCTTGGGTCCCCAAAGTTTAGACAGATGGAGATTTAGAGGGGCTGGAAAATTTTAGAGTGAAAAAGAAAAGGGTAGGAAGAGATCAAGAGATCGGAAAAGGAATAGACCTTGCAAGGGGAGAGCAGAAGGAACCCAGAACTTTCGAGTCTGCTTTGATGACGTGGATACTTCATTCCAACGGTGTCCAAATCCTCTATGAAGCCTTAGCGGGAGAGGAGGAAAACTAACTTCTTGCTGTTTTCCAGATGACTCGAAGACTTTCTCCATCCAAGTGAGGCAGGTGGAGGATTACCCTGTGGACATCTACTACTTGATGGACCTCTCCTACTCTATGAAAGATGATCTATCAAGCATCCAGAGCCTGGGTACAAAGCTGGCCTCCCAGATGCGCAAGCTCACCAGTAACCTCCGTATTGGTTTCGGAGCCTTTGTGGACAAGCCTGTGTCGCCGTACATGTACATCTCTCCACCAGAGGCCCTGAAGAACCCTTGCTATGAGTAAGTCTCTACAGAAGTCAGGGTGGTGGCCCTCTCCATTGTCCCAGGCAGGACCAAGTCCTACTTCTTGTTTCTAGTTCGTGGGTAGCTTCTTTGGCCACCCCAGGCCAAACCCTAACTCCTTTCTACTTTGATCTTCCTGGTAAGGGGCCAAGTCTGTTGAGCTGGTGGTTTGTGTCAGTAGAGTTCAAGGTTGCTTGGAGACTTGGAAAGGAAAATTTGTTAGTCATTAAAAGGCAAGAAAGAATTCGAGAGAAATAAGGTAAGAAGCACAGACATGTTTATAGATAAGTAAACAGGAATGACAATGCCAAAAGGACTAATCTCATTGATGTCACCAGTCATCACCATGACGTCATCATCAAAGGAATGAGTCCTCCAGGTGAAAATCCAAGACCTAAGGTCCTAGAGGAATAGAAAAGAACACAAGCAACACTGAATCTTGGATGGTCTCTAAATGGATAGATGTGCTTCTGTTGATCCTTTGACTTATAACCAAATGACTTATTTATGTAGCTGGTGGAGATAGCAAACATTTATGGATTGTAGTTACTTTAAATATTGCTTATTGAGCAGGACTTTATTCTTTAGTTTTCAAAGTCAGGTGCTGTGGGTTTTAACCTATTTTGGGTGGTGGTGGCTATAAAGTTATTAGGTATTAGTATTCAATTAAACCATTAAGCTGGAGCTCCTTTTGATATCGTTTAGCAATTTATGGGTGGTCCAAGAACATTAAGGTATTGCACTTTCGCTGTACTATTATAGTACGGTAGTGTTATTTTAGGGAAGTGTTAAGTCTAACATCATAATCACAACAATCAGACTGTCTTTATATGCATGAAGAAATCCTTGGCTACACAACAGGCTAAGCACTGAGCCACTAGCCATAGGTCAGAGGTCCCCACTGTTACCTGTTTGCGTATTTCCAGCCTTGGAAACCCACAGGGCAGTTCTGCTGTGTCCCACAGGGGCACTGTGAGTCAGAATCAACTCGGTGGCAGCGAGTTGTTTTCTTTTTAACTATGCATAACGCTGTCAAGCCTCTGAAGAATCCTTACAAAGATATGTGCTATTATTGACCCCTTTTTTCAAAGGTTAGGCTTTCAACAGGAGCTTGCCTAAATTCCCGTGACTCATAAATGTTGGGACTGAGGTTTATCCTGAAGGATTCTGTTTCCACAGCCCATCCCTGTATCCCCAGGGTAGCTGGCGGCTGAGGTGCCTCGGGTAATTTGAAGTTTGGAGTCTACACTGACTGGAGTCTCTCTCTCTCTAGAGATAGACTAGCCTGGGCAGACCATATTCATGCACTCCCTTTCCTTCACATTCCTTATTCTACCTTCCACCTCTCCTTTCAGAGTGTGCTTAAATGTTCTCTCTTCCCTCCCCAGTATAAAGGCCACCTGCTTGCCCATGTTTGGCTACAAGCATGTGTTGACACTCACTGACCAGGTGACACGATTTAATGAGGAGGTGAAGAAGCAGAGTGTGTCACGGAACCGAGATGCTCCAGAGGGCGGCTTTGATGCCATCATGCAAGCGACAGTCTGTGATGTGAGTGCGGAGGCCTCGGTGCTCCAGGCGTAGGGAGCAAAAATGGGGAAGACATTTTTGTCAACACTGGGGCTTTCTGGTGTGAAGGTGGAGGTAGGAATGCCTCGGAGGCGTGGGCTGAGATGAGCAGCAGTTACTTCTGTTTGTAAACACCCCCTGCCGGGCTGATGTTCCTTCATCCTCAGTGGCTCCAGATGTTTTCTGGGGAGAGCCTTTCCCCACCTCTTAAAAAAAGTACTTCAAAGTCAAAACTGGGGTAACTTCACCTAAGCAAAGTAGGCAGGTGTTGGGATGGGATATCTTTGAGCTCAGTCAACATTTGTGAGTGCAGGTGGGCAATTTGTCTGTCACGGGAAGAGTTATATATGGAACTGACAAGGATATTATTGAGCTCTTTGAACTAATAGCTGTGAGGCTGTTTCCCCTAAAATAATAGAAGCATCCAAGTTGGAAGGTACCCGTACCAGGACTGGAATGGAAGTCCTTCTCCAAGAAGACTCCCAGCCTTTCAGGGAGGAAGGGCTTGAGCCTTTGGTTTCCATCAGTGGCCTGGCTAAAGTTGCTTTGTCTCCTTTGCCTTTTTTTAAAACAGGAAAAGATTGGCTGGAGAAATGATGCATCTCACTTGCTGGTGTTTACCACTGATGCCAAGACTCATATAGCACTGGATGGAAGGCTGGCAGGAATTGTTCAGCCCAACGATGGGCAGTGCCATATTGGCCGTGACAACCATTACTCTGCCTCCACTACCATGGTGAGATATCTGGCAGCATCTATGGTCCCTATTCTCCATGTCCTCCTCTAGACAGTGCCTTTGTATGATATGAAAACGGAAGCTTTTCCTCTGGGCAGGATTCCCAATTTGTTTCGACTTTCCCTCCCCAACGGAACACCGTTATCCAGGGTATAGCCTGGGCAATCCTGAGCATTAGTGGCCTAGATGGTAGTCAGTGTTATCACCACCTCTACTACCACCAACTCCAGTCACAGCATCATGGCATCCAGAATGAACCCAAAGGACATTCACAGGTTTAGCTGGGAAGTGGCCTTCTTCTCTACTCTGTCCCTGATTTTCGCCTTCTTGGACTACCGGGCTCATTGGTGGCTTTGGAAGAAGATAGGAAAAGGGACAAAGATCATCAAAAGCATGGATAGCAGGTTTTACAAGGAAAAGTTAAAGGGGTCAGAGTCGTTTCACTCAATGGAAAGAAGGCTAAAGAATGCTTCGATACATAAGACGACTTCTTATAAACTGCTTTCTATGGCCATAACATGCTCAGTAAGAGAAAGGTACTTAAATTGAAACAGGAGAACTTTCTGTAAGGCATGCAAAATATATACTGACTCTCAGAGTACTGATAGTCTGAGTATCTGGAAGGAAATGTGCACTCTGTTTCTTAAGGACAATACAGGAACTACCTAATCTAGGCAGCATAAAATGTATACCCGTGTCAAGGCAGGAAACTGAGCTGGGTGATCTCGTGAGCTTATTTCTATATCCAGAATAGCATGGGCATGTTCAGAATTCATAGTCATCCCCATTTTGACTCGAGTTTCTTGGTGTTAGCCATCGTCCAGCTGAGGAGCACCAGGCAATAAGTGAGTCAGCAAACAGGGACTGAGGGAGGCAAAGAGATTAAGAACTTTTGAGAACTTCGGGTTTAGTTGAAGAGATAGACCATATTCGTTTATTAAGGACACAGGACTTACGAGTGGTGTAAAATGGGTAGCACAGTCAATAGTAGAGGAAAAACTCATTAGGAGTTGGGATGGTCAAGGAAGACTTCAGAAGTTGGGAATTGAATTGTGTCCTAAGGTTACTCCAGATGGGAGAACAGGAACCTTCTGAAGCAGCGATGAGTGAAAGAGGGAGAGCAAGGAGAGAATGGTTAGAAAGGTGAGTTGAGACCACTTAGTAGAGCATCATGAGTACCCAGGTCAAGGTATTTGTCAGGAGCTTGAAAACCACTAGACCCAACCTAGTACCTGTCCCATTGAATCTGCTCCATAGTCTTTTGTTAATGGATTGAATAGGGTGCTCAGTTTTGGCAGCATCAGCCTGTAACTCTTCATCTGTCCCCAAGGTTCACAGTTGGGGTGTGGTTCCAAATGAATGGAAACTTATTTTATTTTTTATTTTAATAAATTACCTTTGGGGGGCTCTTAGCGCTCTTATAACAATCCATACATTAATTGTATCAAGCACATTTGTACTTGCCATCATCATTTCCAAAACATGTTCTTTCTACTTGAGCCCTTGGTATCAGTTCCTCTTTTATCCCTCCCTCCCCCACTCTCAAAAACCCTTGAAAATTCATAGATTATTTTTATTTTCATATTTTACACCATATGCTGTCTTCCTTTACCCATGTTTCTGTTGTTTGTCCCCCCTGGGGTGGGTGTTGTATGTCAATCATTGTAATTGGCTCCCCCTCCATCCCCACCCTCCCTCTACCCTCATAGTATCGCTACTGTCATTATTGTCCTGAGGGATTTATCTGTCCTGGATTCTGGGTGTCAAGAGCTCTAATCTGTGCCCAGTGTACATGCTCTGGTCTAGCCGGATTTGTAAGAAAGAACTGGGGTCATGATAATGGTGGGGGGTGGGGAGCACTTAAGAACTAGAGGAATGTTGTGTGTGTCTTTGGTGCTATGTTGCACGCTGGCTGGCTCGTCCCTTCCTTGTGACCCTTCTGTGAGGGGATGTCCAGTTGTCTACAGGTGGACTTTGGGTCTCCATCCCGACCTCCCTCATTCACAGCAAAATGGTTGTTTGCTTTGGGTCTTCTGGAAACTTATGTTTTTGCCTCACTTTGATCATGAGGTGAAAGGTGAAGTACCCCCACTGTTTGGTCTAGCACTTCAATCAGCTATATTCTAAGACTTGGAATCCAGGACCGCCTTGTGGGATTCTCTATTGTTGGTAGGTGCTATTGAGTTGATCTTAACTCATAGTAACCCTATGCGACAAAGTGGAACTATCCCACAGGGGTTTCTAGGTTGTAATCTGTATGGGAACAGGTCACCGGGGTCTTTCTCCTATGCAGCTGCTGGATGAGTTTGAACCACCAGCCTTTTGGTTATTGGCCAACCAAGACCAGGTTTTACTACTAATCCAAATTCTTCTTTCTCTTCTCTCTCTCTCTCTTTTTTTTTAGGATTATCCCTCTCTGGGACTGATGACAGAGAAGTTGTCTCAAAAAAATATCAATTTGATCTTTGCAGTGACTCAACATGTAATCAAGCTCTACCAGGTGACTATACCTTTGGGACTTCTTGGACTTGGTCCTGTGAATCAGGGATCAGCCCGGGAGACCCTGCATGCAGATGAATGGGTGGCACATGGTTGAAAAACTACCAATAATAATAAGTAAAATGGTCAATGTCTTCTCCTACTCTTCATTTCTTATTTGGAGAGGGCCTGTGGAGCCTACCACTTTCCTCTGGTAAACCCTGGGCATCTTTATTTCCCTTTCTAGAATTACAGTGAGCTCATCCCAGGGACCACAGTGGGGGTTCTGTCTGAAGATTCTAGCAATGTCCTCCAGCTCATCGTTGACGCCTATGGGGTAAGCACCCTGACGAGGGAATGGGCTTTCTGAGAGTTCACCTCACTTGGTATTCCACAGTGGGGCTCAGACTGGGAGATACTGGCTTCTAGTCTACCGCATTGCCTTACCGCCTTTCTCTTATGCGCCCAGGGGCCAGGTGGTGGTCAGCAGCGAAGAGATACAGCCTTCAGAAAGGTCTCAGAGAGGAATGCCGGGAATAACAGGGACAACAGGTGGAGTGTTTAGAGGAGGTAGAGGGGAGAGTGGGGGCGTAGATCTGGATTGGGGTTCGATGAGGCAGCAGGGTCTAGAGATTGAGGCATTCAGATTAAGGGAGCCCTGGGCTCCAACAATGGGAAAAGAGGGGGCTGATTGATGGGGAAAGGCAAGGTTAATTAAAAATTTGAGTGTTACTACTCAGAGTGGCTAGTAACAGCACACCCCTGAGGTCTGCAGGAGAATGAGGTTGGTTGAGATTTTACCCACACTCACCTAAATAGAAATGGGGACAGGAAGGGGGAGAAGTTTCATGGGCAGGAAATAGAGGCTACTGAGGTGCTCTGGAAGCTTCTGGAAGCTTCTCAGCATCTGACATAGCTAGGGTGAGTACAGAACCTGGGATAGAACTGGCTTCTGTCATATACAAGTAGTCCAAACCCTCACCTTCTTTTGCCATTTCTGCTTAGAAAATCCGCTCGAAGGTAGAGCTGGAAGTGCGTGACCTTCCGGAGGAGTTGTCTCTGTCCTTCAATGCCACATGCCTCAACAACGAGGTCATCCCAGGCCTCAAGTCTTGTGTTGGACTCAAAATTGGAGACACGGTAAGGGGGGCTGGGCTGGGCTGAAGCTGCAGCTCTGACCCCACCTCTGCTCTGGGCATCTGTGGGCACCTCTTACGCCAGTGGTTCTCAACTTAGCTAATGCTGTGACCCTTTAATACAGTTCCTCATGTTGTGATGACCCCACAACAACCCTAAATTTTTTTTCGCTGCTACTTCATAACTGTAATTTTGCTACTGTTATGAATTGTGTGAGCCCTATGAAAGGGTTGTTCGACCCACAAAGGGGTCTCGACCCACAGGTTGAGAAGTGCTGCTTTATGCCATTCCTTCCTTGTACTTGCTTCCTGAAGGTCATCACAACTTAGATGTAGTGGCACTGCCAACCTTTTCCTCTGAGGCTATTTACTAAAACCCGGTCTCTCTGTTAAGTGAACTTTACCCTCAGGATGTGTTTTTATTTTTAAATTTATTTGCGTTTAGGGTCCCTATAGTGAGTTGATTGCAAATGAAAATATTTCTAACCTTCAGCAACTTACCACCTCCCAACCCTCCCCTGAGATAACTAGCATTTAACCCCCTCCCATGACTTGGATAAAATGACAATGTCATCTATTCCATAAATATTTATGGAGACTACGTGCTGGTGGGTTGCACAAGGGTTCAGTGCTTGGCTGCTAACCACAAGGTGGGTGATTCAAACCCACCCAGCGGCTCTTCAGGACAAAGACCGGACCATCAGCTTCTCCATGAGCCCAGTAAGAAGAACAGGGAGCTGTCAGACAGGGAATGGAAAAATGTTTCAAACAGGTGAATCTACGTCAAGGGCATAGATTTATTATTGCTATTCATTTCTCTGTCATTTGAACATTTCAAATTTGAGCTGCATATAAAACATTTTTTTCCCCAAAACAAAGCACAAAGAACTTTGGGGAGCAGTTGTGTTCTGTCACAGGGTGTTGCTAGGAGTTGAAATGGACTAGATGGTCACACACACACACACACACACACACACACACACACACACACACACACACAGCATTCTTCTAGCATTGAAGGTCTACCAGCAAACTGAATCGACAGAGATGCCTGCCCCCAAGGAGTGGAAGGGTACCAAGGAGTAGTGGTTACGCGTCGGGCTGCTAGGTTTGAAACAACCAGCTGCTCAGTGTGAGAGACTGGCTTTCTATTCCTGTAGAGCGTTCCAGACTTGGAGAGCCATAGGGGCAGGTCTACCCTGTCCTGTAGGTTTGCACTGGTTCCAGGGCTGTTTGTTTGTTTGTTTGTTTGTTTTTGGAGTGTTCATGTTGACCCTCTCAACCCCTTTGAGACTTTCTTTTTTGTTTTATTCTCTGCTTCTGTCTCAGGGAGAAGGGACAGGTGGGGATTGAAAGGTCAAGGGGAGAGCTGGGGCACCTACATGCACCCCATGTAAGAGACATTGGCCTGCGGTGTGCTTGCTTGCATGGGTGGTGCAGTATGGTGGGGAATGGAACAGTCGAGCCGAGCCTGGGGCTGGCCACTGAGTGGTGCTTTGCGGACTTTGCTGATGGTGTGTACATACTCAGTGCAGTTGGCCAGAGTCCGGTGTTCACAAGATTACGGGCTCTGTTTGCCTCGCCCTGGTTTATTTCACATGTAGATTAAAAAAAACAACAACAGTTAAAACATTTGTGTGTGTGACTATATGCTTTGTCTCTGAACCCAGTCTGCTACGTCACAACTGCATAGCTGTCCCATTGCAATTGTATTTGCTTTGCAGCCTTTGGTAGTGAGGAGGCTGAAGAGCCTCAGATCCCTGCAGGTTAAGCCTGGATACTCCCAGAGGCAGATTCCCTAATAAGCAAGGTAAGCACAGGCTTACTTGTGCTTCCTTACTAAGTTGCAGTGAACACTGTCATATGGGATATGGCCAAAACCATGTGAAACTAACTGTTCACTACAGTTTAGTAAATAAACACAAGGAAGCCTATGCTTACCTTGCTAACGGGGTGCTCCCGAGCAGGGCAGAGGCAGCTGCTGTGCTCCAGCGCCCCTCTGTATCTAAAGAAAATTTTGCTGTACCTCCAGGTGAGCTTCAGCATCGAGGCCAAGGTGCGTGGCTGTCCCCAGGAGAAGGAGAAGTCCTTCACCATTAAACCCGTCGGCTTCAAAGACAGCCTCACCATCCAGGTCACCTTTGACTGCGACTGTGCCTGCCAGGCCCAGGCCCAGCCTCACAGCTCCCGCTGCAACAACGGCAATGGAACCTTTGAGTGTGGGGTGTGCCGCTGCGGGCCAGGCTGGCTGGGGCCCCAGTGCGAGTGCTCCGAGGAGGATTACCGCCCCTCCCAACAGGATGAGTGCAGCCCCCGGGAGGGCCAGCCCATCTGCAGCCAGCGGGGCGAGTGCCTGTGCGGCCAGTGTGTCTGTCACAGCAGCGACTTTGGCAAAATCACCGGCAAGTACTGCGAGTGTGACGACTTCTCCTGCGTTCGCTACAAGGGGGAGCTGTGCTCTGGTGAGTAGAGCCCCACGCCCCACCCGTCCCTGGATCCTCTAGAAGCCTAGGCCCAGGGCTTGAGGTGGACCCACAGGGACACTTGGCGAGGGGAGGTGGTGCCGCCGAGTAAGTGATGTTCCCTTCCAGTGGCAGAAAAACAAAACACTGCTGCTCCCCGTGGCTTTGCATGTGGGGCCACAAGAAAGGAATCTCTACCGGGGGAATGCTTCACTCCCCAACTGCAGGGGAAGGGGGGAAAACTTCAAGGTGAATGTGATGTCTCCTCTTTCCTTTTATCTGCTACCTTTCCTAATTCTTTAGAATCTGTGGTTCTTAAACTCTTGAACATAAAGTAGACCCCTTTTAGAGTTTAAAAATAAAATCACTGACTTACGGTGATTACATTTTCAGTACTTACAGATGTAAAAAATGCCCGGTATCAGAAAGTCTAGCAAAGTTAGTAAAAAAATTTCCATTTTTCTGTCACAAGAGACTCAGATGGCAACAAATGTACAAATGTGCTAGACACAATGGATGGATGGATGGATTGTGATAAGAGTTGTACAAGCCCCCAATAAAATGATTTAAAAACCCCACCCCCTATCACATATGAAGTAACAGTAAGTCTCAGAAAAAGGAGTTTTGCCAAGTATGGAATTTGATCTATTGCAGAATTTGCCCTACAGTCTAACCAGATTCCTTAATCCATTTAGGTGCCTAAAGTTTTGAATATTCTCTTTCAGTATCCAGATGTTCTCTTTCTACTCTTGTTTTCATTCCCTTTATCAGAGTTTATGACTAAAAACTTTCAAGCCCAGGTAAAAGCAATACAGTCAATCTCTCCTATTGGATAAGCATGTATTTCCAAAAAAATAAATTTTGTTCATATGTGGTTGGTGAAAAAGAGGGAGAGAGAACGAGACAGATTCAGAACATAGTCTATATAGATATTAAGAACCCCTCAAGCTCACTGCCACTGAGTCAATTTAGACTCTTCGGGACCTTATAGGACAGGGTAGAACTGCTCCTGTGGGTTTCCGGACTGTAACTCTACATAAGCAGAAAGCCCCATCTTTCTCCAGAGGAGTGGCTGGTGTTTTTGAACTGCTGACCTTGAGGTTAGCAGCCTAATGCATAATCACGCCGCCACCTCCGCTGCTGCTGCTGCTGTGGCTCCTATATCTGTATATAGTTAGCTATACCGACTTAGAACAATGCCCAGAAATGTGTAAGCTCGCATAAGACGTTAGCATGATTTTGTTATTACTCTTGGTGGGAGTGTGGGTAGGCCCGGGGCTGCTAACCACAGGCAGGCGTGGCTTCCTTGGTGGAAGGATGAGGTTGTCTCTTCCTGGAAAGATTTACCATCTTGGGAACCTTATAGAGGGTTGTTGTAAGTAGGAATGGGCTCCATGACAGTGGTTTTTAATTTTAATTTAATGTTATATTTTACTAGTACGAGTACTACTTTTTTTGGATTCGAGGCCTGTGTTGTCCAGTATAGTAGTCACAGGTGACGATGACATTTAAATGAATCCAAATAAGATACAATAAAAAATTCAGTTCCTCTGTTAGGCCGCAGTCACATGTGGCTAGTTGCTGCCATATTGGACGGTGCAGACAGGACTTTTCAAGATTGCAGAGCACCTTATAGTATAGTGTGGCCCCAGAGATTCCCAGCCATCAGACAGACAGTTAGCACTTTGAGTCTTTCAACCTCCTGAGTGCTCAGTTGTCCTCCTTATAAAATTCAGTAAAGCCCTGAGGCCCACTGAGGAGCCCAGGCTGGTTGCTTATTGCCCAAAGGACATTCCTGGGGTACTTTGACCACTAGAAGAAGTTGAACTAATTCTAATGTAGTCTTGCTATGTACAGAAATGAGGCAACACTGCCCGAGGGCAAATAGGCATGTAGAGTTGTTTGGAGGGTACTGGAGATAGATTTTTGCAGAGCTATACCACTGTGGCCTGATCTCTCTTGTGACAGATTGAGAATAGACATCCGCATGCCAGTTGGATTGGGTTATAAGTATATTCAGTGGCCAATGGAACTGAGAGATGGCTTCTATGTGACCAAATCCCTGACCCAAATGTCTTCATTAGCATTGGGTTCTGACTGTTGAGCTCATCCATGCAGATGTTTACTTTAATGTCAACATCAACTTTAATTAGAAAGGTAATTCTGTGGCATTCTAGAGCATGGCCAACATAATATAAAGCATCTTTTTATGATTCACACATTGTTTCCTTTATTCATGCCGACAGAATTTGAGAGGAAAGAGATTGGGAGAAAGAGAGACCAGAGAGTTTAGGGAAGAGAGAGGCCAGTTACACATGGGCATCTACATACAAACAATAGCAGTACATGTTCATATTTAATAATATTTATGCCATATTCAAGGAGCCCTTGTGGTTTGGGCTGCTAACCCCAAGGTCAGCAGTTTGAAACCATCAGCCACTCCTCGGGAGAAAGATGAGACTTTCTACTCAGTCAAGAGTTAGTCTTGGAAATCTTTTCTGTCCTATAGTGTTGCTATGAGTCAGAATCAACTCGTTGGCAGTGAGTTTGGGGGGGTGGGTTGGATGCCAGATTCAAAGTACCAAAGGAAATGGTAAGTTTGCGGAAGGAGACCCACAGGGAGAAGGTTGGAACTAAGAGGGAGAGAGTGGGGAGGTCTAAAGATAGCCCACTGGAGACCAAGGGATGAAAGGAGGCGGGGTCCCCCTCCCTGGTGTGAGGCAGCATGGGAGGGATACCAGCCAAAATGTGTTTCCTTTGGCTGCCAGCCCTACTGAAGCCAAAAAACAAAGCTGCCCTGGTCAGCAACCCAGCTCCTGCCTCCCACCAGGGTGAGAACAGTTCGTCCACATAGTGCTCCCATCTAAGCCAAGAGGGAGTCCCAGGCAGGCTGGGCAGCTTTCCTGCATACCCCTCCCTGTCCCAGTTAATGGGTGTTGGTGTGGTCATCACATCCTCCAGTGCTAGACCCTCCAGGGCACACATTCCTGAGCCCCTGCTCTATGCCAGGCACCAGTCCTTGTAGATGAACAGCAGGAGGTCAGGATTCTTCATATCAAAGAGCTTAAAGCACAGCTCCTCATTGTCCATGAGCGCAGCTGCTGGTCTTGTGGTCCGCCCCTTGCCACAAGCAGGGTCTCATGAAGTGGAATGCTCTGGATTGAGCCATTTCCATAGCCCCTAAGCAATAACTAGGGCAGCCAGTTTCCTGTGGTGCCTTTGCTCCCAAGTCCCAATTGGAGACACGGTCTTTGTGTTTGCTTGTTATTAGCACTCACGCCGCAGACACCGGTCCTTGTTGTCAAGGACTTTCTACTTGCCACACCATCCATGAGCTGAGACTGACCAAAAGTTGGAATCGACTCAAAGACAACTAGCAAGAATAACGACCACCCTTTAATTTAGCTAAGGACTTATCAGAGGAGCAATCTGGATGTAGCTTCTGGCTTAGACTCAGTCTCACGTACTTTGGACATGTTGTCAGGAGAGACCAGTCCCTGGAGAAGGACAGCATGCTGGTAAAGTAGAGGGGCAGTAAAACAGAGGAAAGCCCTCAGGAGATGGATTGACACAGTGGCTGCAACAATGGGCTCAAAGCATAGGAACAACTGTGAGGATGGGGCGGGGCCGGGCAGTGTTTCTTTCTCTTGTGCGTAGGATTGCTGTGGGTCACAACCGACTTGATGGCACCTGACAACAACAACAAGGAGGATTCACAGCACAAAGCAGAATCTGCCACTTCCGGCAGGGAGGTGTCCTCAGGGAGCCTTACAGGAGTCTACAGGGAGGTCATTGTGCGAATGGGAGGACTGGGAGGCTTCATGGAGGAGGGGGACTCTGATAAGCCTCCAGGAAGCCTTGGCTCAGAGAGGAGAGGTGTGGAATGGGGTATCAGGGTCCCTAGCTGCACATGGAGTGATGGCTTTTCCACTGTTCCTCCTTCCTCTCCTTTTCCCTCTTCCTTCTGCTCCGTTTCTTCATTTCTCACCCGCCTCTGACTTTTGTGCTGTCCCTGGTACTAAGGGGAGGCTTTCCTTTTGCTGGAGGAGTGCCAATCTCGTGATATTACCATACTGTGACTTCCTTTCAGGCCTGCCCTTGCCAGGGCTTGGGGTCACCCTGCTGGCTCGGCCTGCCACTTCTCCTCCCGACCTTACTCCTCAGCTGGCCTGGCAGACTTCTCCTCAAAGACCACATTGTTTAGCCTCACAAAGAAAATACTATGGGACATGGTTACTGAGGAGGCCGAGGCTGCTAAATGCTGCCAGGCCTCTGTGGTGGCGGCCTTTCCCTCCTCTGGGAGCCGTGGCCGAGGGCAGGATGTCATGGACCCCGTGGGGCCCAGTCTGCTGGCTGCCACACCCGCTCCCCAGCTGCTGTGAGGGTTGGCTGCTTTGAGCTCACCGCTGCCCTTTCTATGGAGATTTACCTTCAGCTGACAGGAGGTGCCTTGCCCCCCACATCGTGGCCAGGGAGTGAAGGGCTGTTGATGGTTGTTGTCCAGTGGATTCGGACTCCCGGGGATCCCACGGGTGAGAGTAGAACTGTGAAGATTGTGACCTTTCAGTAGCAGATCTCCTTCCACGTGTCCTTCAAGGCGAGACGCTCCATGTGAGGTCCACCTTCCACCACCATTGGCTTAACCCTCTGTGCTCCCCAGGGACTTCCTGCTGATGGATCAAGGGCTACAAAAGGCCCAGGGTGGACTAGCTCGGTGGCGTTACTCACCACACTGTGAGGTCTGGCTGAGATGGCCAGCCAGTTAGTTTTGACTCCTGCCCTGTCCTGGCTGGCTTTTCTCTCGGTCCCCCTTCCTCAGTAAATCACTCGCATTGAGACTCCTCGCTTCAAACTGTGCTCCTGAGGAACCCGACTTAAGCCCTCCTTCTTTGCCTATCCCCAGCCAGCCCAGCCTCCCTGCTCTCCAGGCATCTCGGCAGTTGGTTGGGTTCCCCAACAGTCCCCAGGAACCCACCTTTCTTTCCAAGGCAGTGACATACGCCTGCGTTTTGAATGCCATTGTGGCTACCGAAGGATGGTGCTTGAGTCTCTGCCAGAGGGACTCAGAGTGGCCAAGAGAGACAAGTTAGAGCCACCGGGGACACTAGTTGGATCAACTAACAGTGGCTGGCTAGTTGCTTTTGGTACCTAACTCTGTTTCATTCTCTTCTGTACCTCCCCAGGGCCCTTCTGCTCCTGCAGTGCTGTGGTTTTCAGACCAGTTCACCTTACTTCCTCCCTTGGTCCCTGCCTTTCCTCTGATTAACAATCAGATTTTTATTATTCACTCACTCCTTCCTGATTTCGGAGTGCTGGAGAATGAGTCACCTTTCTGCAGGGGTGGAGGAGCCAATTTTTAAATCATAAAAAAAAAAAAAAAATCCCCAAACCTGCTGCTTTGGTTTATGAAAGGACTATTAGAGGCACCATGGTATTGTGAGTGAAGCCCTGCTGGCATAGTGTGTTACATGTTGGGTTGCTAACTGCAAGGTCAGCAGTTCAAACCCACCAGCTGCTACTTGAGAAGAAGACGAAGCTTTCTACGCCAATAAAGAGTTCCAGTCTCGGAAACCCACAGGGGCAGTTCTACTCTGTAGGATCTCTCTGATTCGGGAATCCACTCGGTGGCAGTGTGTTCGTTTGCTTTCTGGTTTGGCATTGAGACTTCATCCTCGCATTTGAGCAATCTAACCCCCCAGCCCGGGTGTCCTTGAGAGGAGCAGACAGTGCAGGTGCTTGGCTGCCGACCAAAAGCTTGACATTCAAGTTTGCCCCCAGGCGCCTCGGAAGGAAAGCTGGGTGACCTACATCTGAACAAGCAGCCATTGACAGCGCTATGGGGCACAGCTCTCGTCTGATCTGCACGGAGCCTTAGCTTTTGAGCTTCTTTTGCTCCTGTGTGACTCAGGCCCAGTCCCGCCCCACAGGGTGCACCCAGAGAACGGAGTTTGTTCTCACCAGGAGGGCGTGAGTCAGTTCGTGGCCAACCAGGAGAATCATCATTGGCTTGGTGGGAGAAAGGGTCAACTGGTTGCAGTCTGCTGCTGGGTGGGCGTGGGGTCCTCACCAGCTGGCCCGTCCCCTGGGGCTGTTCACTTGCAGGTCATGGCCAGTGCAGCTGTGGGGACTGCCTCTGTGACTCCGACTGGACCGGCTTCTACTGCAACTGCACCACGCGCACCGACACCTGCATGTCCACCAACGGGCTGCTGTGCAGTGGCCGGGGCAAGTGCGAATGCGGCAGCTGCGTCTGCATCCAGCCGGGCTCCTACGGGGACACCTGTGAGAAGTGTCCCACCTGCCCTGATGCCTGCACCTTTAAGAAGTGAGTGGGCAGCTTGGAGAGTTGGGAGACAGAGTTCGCCCCTAACTCTCCAGATTTGATCTCTTACTCACCAACCCTGGAGGGAGAGGAATCTGCCTTCCCCTTAATCTGGTGACTGGTTCTCTCCTCTTTCTACTGCAAACCTTGAGGACGTTGGGGGTGGAGCCAACAAGGGAGTGGCCAGAGGGGTGCCAGCCCGTGACTCCAGTTGGAGAGACTCCTCCTGCATCCTTCAAATGCCAACCTTTTGGTTAACAGCTGAGCACATTAGCTGTTAACATCACCCAGGAATTCCTGGAGGGACAAGGGCCAAGGCATCTAATTTTATGGGCCATTACCATGCTGATGTTCTGAGCGTGGGAGAGGTGTGTGGATGGAGTTATATGAATGACACTGTGCGACAAGGACTTCTGCCAGTATAGAACCACGGGACCTTAGAGGAAGTCCTGTCAGCACAAGTCTATGGCCCTGCCATTGCTCTTGTCATTTTAAGAAGAGCATGGGACTGGTGCGGTGCTTGCCGGGGTTTCCTGTACTGGAGTTAATGCTCTACTATTGCTATCTTGACATTCTTAATAACTTTTGAATAAAAGACCCTACAATTTCATTTTCTATTGGACCCCTCCATGGTGTCACTAGTTCTGGTGTCCAGCTCCCCAAACTGGCATCGTGTTCCCCCTCTGTCACAGCCCTGGCTGGGACGTGAGGAAGTTTAGGGAAAGAGCTGGGGCCTTAGGCTGCCAGGCCCTGCCTGTGGGAAAGGAGGGCACTTCTCACTCCTGACTTCCAGAGTTGATTCTCTGGGCTTCAGAACCGGATGGTCAGACAGCGGTTACATTGTCCTTTAATTTGTACTGAGGTGGAGCAGCTTGCCTAGTGACTGATGGCGCACACTCTGATTTCCTCCTCTTGTGCCTTACCTACCTGTGTTTCACCAAGGGAGTGTGTGGAGTGTCGGAAGTTTGAGCGGGGACTCCTGCATGATGAGAACACCTGCAGCCGCTACTGCCGGGATGAGATTGAGTCTGTGAAGGAGCTAAGTAAGTGGACTGTGACTGTGAGTCCCACACACTCAACTTCCAAGATGTTTTGGGGTCAATGGTAGAACCTCTCCAATGCTCAAGTACAATGGTATCACAATTGCTGCCTCCCAGGAATTTTGTGCAGGCCCGGGTCACCAAACGAAAAGACAAACTCGCTGCGCCGTTGAATTGATGCTGACTCATAGTGACCTAATAGAGCAAGGTTCTATACTCCTGTGAGTTTCTGAGACTGGTAGCTGTTTACAGAACAGCTGGTGGTTTTGAACTTGGAACCTTTCGGATCACAGCTCAACTCAGAACCACTACATCACCAGGCCTTCTGGCCTGAGGTACAGCAGGCACTTAATAAAAGCGAATGTCCCTGGAAGTCCTCGTGCACCCCGACTAATGGCTCAGCAACCCTTCCTCTTTTTCCTGCCAGAGTTCATAGACGCTACTAGACCTTGAAAATAACTTCTAAAGATATGTATCAGGCCCCCTAGTCCCACTTCCCCAAGGAAAGGAAGATCAGATAAAGAGACTGAGGTGTATAGATGGAAAATGATAACCCATGACAGTCATCACCAGAGCTTGCTAGGCTAATAGCATTTCATAAACACCCTTTTGGGGTTAAGCAATACTCAGGCACATAGCTTTGCAGGTTTGGAAGGAAACTTTCACTCTTAGGAATTTGTCACCAAAATGTCTATCCTATCACTTCTTGGTGTTTTGATTAAGATCAAGTGCAAAATGTGTCTCCTAAATATCCTGTGGCTGTCTGCAGCCCCGTCTGGAACAAGGTAGAAGTACAAATAATGGTGCATGGAACTCTTGGTGGAAACATTTTTTTGGGCTTAATCTTGACTTTAAAGGAAGTGGGTTCTGCTGCTGTCAGCACGTTATCTGGGTTCAGATGGCAATCTCTCCTAAGATAACAATCGCCCACAAAGTTGGAAAGGACATTTTCAGAGAGAGGTACAATCAGACATAACCAGTCAGCTCCTGCGCAGGAGTTTTGTGGAAAAGTATCAGATCCCTGGATCCTTTGGATAGACCACAAATGACCCTGGAGGGAGGGTGGCCATTTGACCATGGAGTTTGAAGGGGCATTTTGTCCTCTGGCAAAGAGTAGGCTGCCGATGATTAGCTCAGATGGGAGATGTTGCTGAGAGATGGATGGCATTTTATGATCTCTATCATGGAGGTACTATAAGTGAGTTGGTCTCTAGACGGGTGGGATCCTTGAGACATTGGCAGAAGTCATCTTTTTGGCCTGGAACTGAACTCGCCCCTGTGGTTGAATACCGAACCATTTAAGAGCCAAAGAGCAGCTTTATTCAAAGAGGGAGTTAAGAGGGTTAGGAAAAAAGGCTCTATGGCTATAAGCAATACAGAGAGAAAGCACTGAACCTTCGGGAGAATGAGACGAAACAAAATGTGCCTGGATTGTTGACTATAAGGCTGATGAGCTGTTCTATGAACCTTCACCCAATTCACACAAAAAATGTTTACAAACAACAACACATAAATCCTTACTCTTTCCCCTGTGCTAGCATACCGTTGGGTTATTGACTATTGTAAGCAACTGGCCTTTTGAGTTCAGGCCTGTAGGATGTCCTTCGAAATTCATATTTTAGCCCTGTTCCATCCCTTGTTTGCTGTGTGACCGTGGTACATTAGCTCAATCTCCTTGTATGTCAGTTTTATCCAGGCTGTTTTATGAGTGCGGAGCATAATGCAGCTAGTGAAGTGATAACCCATTGTTTTACTGGCAGAATAAGAAGTTTTAGAGTTAATAACAAGTGTTTGAGAGGAAAGAAAGCCTAGAAAATGTAACGGGAGCCGCAGGAAAGACAGCTCTGCAGGGGTACACTGAATCAGAAGCAGGCATGAGAGATCCAGGAAGGGGCTTCAAAAAAGCCATGGAAAATGTCACTAAAAGCTAATGGAAAATTTCTAGGAGCATTTTGAAGCCCCTTCTATACATCTGAGTATGGAAGCTATGCAGAATCACTGACTACGATGAGAGTGGTAAGATAGAGAAGGTATCTACTGTGTAAAAAAATAAAAACGAAACAATTACTGCTGTGGAGTTGATTTTGACTCAGTGATCCTGTAGGACAGAGTAGAACTGCCCCTTTAAGTTTCTGAAACGGTCAAAAGCTTTAGAGGCCCAGAAAGTGCCAGCTTTCTTCTTCAGAGTGACTGGTGGGTTTGAAATGCTGATGTTGTAGTTTGCAAATCAATGTGTTACCAGGGCACCTTACCCACTGTGTTCAAACCAAACTCACCCACACTGAGTCCATTCTGACTCACAGTGACCCCACGGGACAGGGTAGAACTGCCCTTGTGGATTTCTGAGACTCTTTACAGGAGTAGAAAGCCTTGTCTTTCTCCTGTGGCACAACTGGTGGTTTCAAACTGTCGACCTTGCCCTTAGCAGCCCAGTGCATAACCACTATGCCACCAGGGTTCCTACTGTTAGGTACTGTTACATTTATATAATTTAATTCTCACCAACCCTGCAAAATGAGGGTATTATTTTCCTTTTGATCAATGAAGAAAGACTCATTGAGGGTCAGGAAATTGACCCAAGATCACACAACTGGTACGTGGGAGAGCTAGGCTTTAAACCCATTTGAAGATATTATGTCATGTTCCTTCCAGACAAAGGAAGAAGAACCAAAATGGGCCTACAAAGGGGCAAATATTCATCAATGAGAGTCATCTGGAGGCAATTGCCAGGCACACTAGCCATCTGAAATAGAGGTTTCTTGCTTAATGCATGGGATTCCCTGAATATATATATAACATATATATATATTCCAATAAGTCTTATGACTGATGCTTTTTGGGGAAGTGAGCCCATCTTCCAATAAATGACTTATTTTTTATCTCTTCATGTCCCGCTTCCCCTAGGGGACACTGGAAAGGATGCAGTGAATTGTACCTACAAGAACAAGGATGACTGCGTGGTCAGATTCCAGTATTATGAAGATGCCAGTGGAAAGTCCATCCTGTATGTGGTTGAAGAGCCAGGTATGTGAAGCCCGAGGGCTCAGAAGCGGGGAAACCATACTCAGGAGTAATGTCCTCCCATCACCTGTTCATGTGCCAGGTCAAACCTGTCCTGCCTGATGAAACCAAGCCTACTGCCATCAAGTTGATTTGGACTCATGGTGTCCATACATGGTGTTGCGGAGGCTGTAAATCTTTACATGCAGCCTCATCTTTCTCCCAAGGAGGGTCTGTTGGGTTTGAACTGCTGACCTCACAAGTGATAAATGAGGGCCTGTTGTGTGAATAAAGGGTCCTTTGTAAACATAAGGCAGTGATTTGTTAATTGAGGAGACAGAGAGAGTGAGCACAGGTGGGTTAGGAAAGGAGAAAGATGAGTATGGATCTCATCAAAGGAACAAAAACTATACCATGACATTCCCAAGGTGACATTGTCAAGAAGTAAGAAATTTGAGTTCTACAACTTTTCTGCCCAAGGCAGTGGTTCTCAACCTTCCTCATGCTGCCACCCTTTCATACAGTTTCTCATGTTGTGGTGACCACCCCCAACCATAAAATTATTTTCGTTGTTACTTCATCACTGTAATTATGCTACTGTTATGAATCGGGCAACCCTGTGAAAGGGTCCTTTGACCCCCAAAGGGGTCGTGTGACCCACAGGTTGAGAACCGCTGGCCTAAGGCATCTGCTCTATTAAAAACAAAATGACCGTCAAGAGCAACATGTCATCGATAAAGGCCTGATGAGCATTGACTGTTCATCACAGGACATGCGATGGGATGGTGGCACTTAAAGAGAGCACTTGCTTTCCGGGCTCTCTGGAAGCAGGCGAGCCCACTGTACCTGTGGTTTGTTCGCATCCGGCACAGGTGTTCTTCCTTCCCTACAGCCTTCGTTTCCTTTCTTTCCCCCGAACAGCAGATTCAAATCTGGATCATTAGAAAATATTTCTGAGTGCTTATCTGTCGGGTGCTGTGCTAGATGCTGGGAATAGAATAAGGCAGAAATGGCAAGCCCAGGCCACGGGAGAGACAGGAACATAAATAACTGCACTGGTGTGAGAGAAGAGAAGCGCCACGGCCCGGGGGGCCGAGAGGATGAGACCCAGTGGGGGCAAACTGAAAGCAGAGGTGGAATCATTTGTCTCCTGATAGTCTTTGGAGCTGTAGGAATTTCTTCAAACCATCACGTAGACCAAGGTCCTAGTGAAAAATTCCAGGATTTGTGCTTCTGTGTGATTCCCAGGGCATCTGCGCTTCCCTTAGAAGGATCTTCATCACACATCTTAATTGCTTATTTATGGACCCGTGTGCCTCGGTGGATAGTAAGCCCTAAGAAAGCAGGAACCGTGTTTGTCTTATTATTGCACCTCCATGCTTAGCTCAGTCGTATGCAGGGAAGACATGTTTAATAAGTGGTTCTTGAATGATTCAATAACAGGCTGGTTTAGGGCAGGTATGCTTACCTCATCTTGGAATTTGTTAGGAGACGTCTGGCTGCTTGGGGAAGGAAGACGATGAATAGAAAAGGGAGGCAGAAAAGGCCGGAGGAGACACTTCACCTCACACCTGGGTAGAGAAGGGCTGTGCTATCGCCATGTCATTTAGGGTATTGGCTGTCTCTTTGGGGAAAGGAGCGTGTTGTATGTTTGGGGTATTGCTCATCATTCAAAGCGGTCTCACCATTTACAAAGGAGAAGGAAGGTCAAGAGAGGGCATCAGCCTTAGCTTTATTTAGTGACTCAAGGGAAACCTGACATGGAGGGTGTGAGGGTTGAGTGCATAGATATCTGTCGGGGAGAGGATGTGGATTAATCTGACAGTAACTTCCCCTACCCTTTCTCACCTGTACAAACAATGCATTTCACAGATTTCCTGACACCTCTCTATCTGTACCTGTGCCTCTTCTTATTTCAGAAAGGTCGTGTGGCCTTGCTTTGCGGCTTGACATTACGACGTCTCTTTGTTATATTTCTCTTTGCTGGTGATCTTCCTGGATCACTTACCAAAATGATTTGTCTTCCTCTCCTCAGACTGGACTACACTCCCTGGAGTTGTGAAGGACAAAGGTGATCATCACCTGGGTTGGTACCCATAAGCCCTGGGTGGGCAGTTTCTTCCCTGGCTTATTCTCAGTAGACCCCTCCCTCCACATAAGGAGAGGGATCAGAGATCCAGAACCCCATCGTTTACCTAGAGCTACCTTGTTCTTCTTACAGACTCTTCTTTCTTTCCCTTAACCATGTCCAGAGAGCCCCAAGGATGGAAGCAATGATTACCTTCTCCTTCTCCAACTCCTGTCCTCGTAGAGGCTCCTTTGGGAGGGCTATGTCACTGTAGGGCAGTACAAAGAGCTTTGCCAAAGGAGGAGGCATTGGCCAGGCACAGTTTTAGCCCTTGTGAAATAGGCTACCCTGAACTGGGCCCCCATTACTCTCATGTAGGGCTACCAGAAAAAATACAGTATGCCCCAAGCAATAGTTGGTACATACTTATCTAAAAAGTTATTTATGTGAAATTGAAATGTAACTAGGTGTGCTGTACTTTTGTTTGCTAAATCTTCCAATCCTGCTTAGACATCACTGTCCTTGGGTAACCCTTAACACACACCCCCACCAACACCCCCCCACACACACACACACCATGGGTCCTCACCACTGTGGCTGGGAGGGCCCCCCAGGCACCATCTGATCTTGTCTTCTGCTTCCAGGAAGCCTGTTGTGAAATCCTTTCAGGGCAGATGGTTAACAGATGAACAAATCCTAACCACTCCTGCCTCCTCCAGCTAGTCTTCCTGGCATTCTACCTGTCCTGGCCAACTTACAAGTGGAATTGAGGGAGTTTCATTTTGAGGTTTGAGAGTCATTCCTACCCCCGTCTGCCAGAGATTTTATAATTGCTTTTCCCAGAATTCAGACCCTCCACTCCTAGGAATGGGACCTTGGGACCTCACAGCCTCTCTCCCGGCTCTTCTTTAATTATAGACAGAGTTTGTTATTTGGTGGGTTGAGATATAGCCAAGTCGGGTTTGTGGTTGTGGCTGTTTTTGCATGGTGTGCGGTGAGTACAGGGTGCATGTTTACGGAAGAAGGCAAGAGACAGTGTGGTGAGTGAGTGTAACTCCTTCTCCAGACTTACCCATACCCACATATACAAACACCCAGTTACCTAACACCCGAGGAGTCACCGGAGTAAAACACCTGCGGCTTATGGGAAGCAGAGCTCTCAATGATGAGGAATGAGGCACCTCTGTCTTGGCTGATGACAGGGGTTGAACAGGATGTTGGCTCTTCATAGGGCTAGGATTTTAAATGACTGAATACTTTGGGAAAGGACCCAACATATCGTGTTAGGCTCTTGATCTCTGGGGATGTTAAAAAGCTCATTGGGTTCCCAAGACTCAGGGATATAAATATCTGAACCCTATAGGACTCAGTAGGTAAATACATAAGTGAAATTGGCTGGATATAATAACAGTAAGAATGCCCCAAACAAAAAACCTATATAAGCTTTTGTCTCTCTCCTGTAGAGTGGTTGATGGGTTTGAACCACCAACCTTGTAGTTAGCAGTCCAGTGCTTACCCAACAGCATCAGGGTACCTTTCAATAGTAATGGCAACTGATAATTATTGCGTGCTTGCATTGTTGTTTTTTTTTAATAGTTAACTTGATTATTTTTTATAACAATCTTTTGAGGTCAGGGCTATTACTTTCCCCATTTAAAAAATAGACAACCAGGAGAACTACCCAGAAAGGTTAAATAATTTACTCAAGGTCACATGGAAGAGTAATCTAGAAATCAAACTCAGGCAGGCTGACTTCCAAGTCTACAGTAGCATAAATACAATGACAAGCCACACTTGGCCTTGGTTTTAGGGGGAAAATACAGAGTGGTGAAGAGGGGAAAATGAGAGAACCCAAAGAGCAGCCGTTGCTCAGCTCTGGACGATTGTTGCTCTGTAGGAAGAATATTGACTTTGTGCGTTTAGATCTTCCTTCTTTTAAAAAAAGAGATGCCAAAGAAAAATCAGAAATTTGGGGAGAAAGTTTTCTCATTGTTCAAAATTTTATGTGTGTGTGCATGTGTATATATGCATATGTATATGTTTATAAATATAAAATAAGCACTTGTGTGAAGCAACACTGCGTAGTCTGGATTCAGCCCATGGCTGACCAACTCACCGCCTCTGATTTAAACCACTTGAGGACAAATTGTTGCTGTCTTCAACATCACTTATTTTTTTGCCATGAAAACAAAATGTCGAAGACCATCCTGTTTCTGTCAGAGACCTTTCCAGGACTTTAGTACTTTGTCAAGTAGACCTGTTTTTAGTCTGTTCAAGTGGTTTTTGCTTCATTCACAACCACCTGCTCTGTGTCTCTCCTGATAGACTGTCCCAAGGGTCCTGATATCCTGGTGGTCCTGCTTTCAGTGATGGGAGCCATTCTGTTGATCGGTCTTGCTACTCTGCTCATCTGGAAACTCCTCATCACCATCCATGACCGGAAGGAGTTTGCTAAATTTGAGGAAGAACGAGCAAGGGCAAAATGGGACACGGTAAGAGTCTGGGCTGGGAGCTTTGATTCAGACGTCCCGCTTTTGGCGGGACAATCCCGAGTTTTAACAATTTTTCCCGCGTCCCGCAGCATTTTAAAAAAGTCCCGATTTCAAAAAGCACGACAAGCTAGGGTATACGGTTTTCGGCTGTCATGTGGCTATTTCACCAGGATATGAGTTTTAGCAATGGTGTCCCACTTTTGTCCCACTTTACTAATGTTAAAATCTGGTCACCTTACCCTAAAGTAGAAGCAGTATAGATACTCAGGATAGTAGGCTCATGTGTTAGTCTGGGTAGACTAGAGAAACAAATTCATAGAGACACTCATATGTGTATAAGAAAGAGCTTTATATAAAGAGCAATTATAATTGAAAACATCCCAGCCCAGTCCAGATCAAGTTCATAAGTCCGATATTAACCCATATGTCTGATCCTACGAAACACATGCAATGTTGCTGAATGACAGGCCAATGCAGCAATAAGACAGGGAAGTCTTGTGGATCCAGTGGTGGTGTAAGCATCTCAGCGCTGGCGGGGGTCTCCTTGTGGCTCCTCCGGCTCCAGAGGTCTGGCTCCATCAGTCTCTCTCCAGGTGTCTTCTCCACAGGGTTGACTTGCAGGGAGTGAGCTGCATCCTGCCTCCAGAGAGGTATTTATCTCCTTAGCGCCTCCAAATGAGGTCATCAAGCTGCGACCTGATTGACAGGCTAAACTCCACCCCTTCACTCTAAATCCTCTCAAATTCACAACAGATTATCTAACTACCACAGTTCAGTTCTGGACATTGGGAGATGGCCTGACTGTCCCCTTGTCTGAGCTTCCTGGAAACCCCTAATGTCACGCAAAGGCCATGGGTGTCATACCCATGAGTATTGGCTAAGGATGCCTAGTGTCTGCCTCTGCTCTGAACATTGTGAAGAAATTAAAAAAGAAAAGTATTCTGCAGTTGAGGGAGACAGAACGAACTTGAGAATTTTACAATGAGAACCTATAACATATTATTCATTGACAAAATCAAAAGCATTGCACCGGAAATTTGAAAAGATATAATAGTAGCTAATGTTTTTGGAATATTCACCATGTGCCAATAACTGTTCTAAATGGTTTTCATGTATTAATATATTCTGTCCCTATAATGACCTAGTGGTGGCCACTAATATTATTCTCAGTTTACAAATAAGGAATCTGAGTATAGAGTGGAGAAATGAAGTAACTTACCAGCTGTGGGAGGGAACTAGGTTAATGTAAGAATTCCTTTGTGGATCAGCTCCTTAGGAGGATGGCGGTTCATCTCATTCTCCTCTCTGCCCCACCCCCCTTCCTCAAATGATAGTAGTTCCAAAATTGGATTGCACTCAGGCTATTTCCAAGACCAACATTTAATGAAAGCCTTCTACATGTTTAATTGTACTTGATTTTTCTTCAGTTCATTTTCTACATTTTAATGTAGAAAATTTCTTTTCTGGACCTGACAAATGACTGACTCCCCGCAGGTCCAGGGTTAGGCTGAATTTTTTTCCTTCAGAACTCAAGAAGGCAAGACTTCTCCCACGGAACCACCCCTGCTAAGATGAATCCCTTTTTAACAGTGATGCAATAGCTTCAATCTCATCTTCCTTTCTCTTCTTTCTTATTCATTCCCATTCTAAGAGCTAATGTGTGGGTGAACTGAGCATGGAGCTATTCCATTGATGGTGTATCTTAGCGATGGATGTCTTAGGCAAAGGTCTCAAATGGAAATATAAACCTTCAGGGCAGAAAGAATTGAGGAATTCATTGTAAGGCACTTCTCTGTTCTCTCCTCAGGCCAACAACCCACTGTATAAAGAGGCTACATCCACCTTCACCAACATCACCTACCGGGGCAGTTCATAACCAGCATCGTCTGCAGATCATTACCAGAGTCTCCCAGGATTTGGGGAGTCTCTCCCATTGTGTTTACAGAGACCGTATCTGTGGGGCTTGAAGTAGGGTGGGATGGAAGAATGTCAGTATGTGGATGTGTGTGTGTGTGTGTATAACTGTGATGTATGTGGGCACATGTAATTTAAAACTCGTGATATGTCCCCGATAATGGGAGCTCCTCAGCCCTTGTCCTCAGAATGCTCCTACAGGAATTCTTCCTGCCCAGCTTGAGGGTGACCCATGTGGCTGAGCAGGTGTTCTTTACCTCAGTGAGATGCCAGCTTACCTTGTTGTACCATTCTCCCTGAAGAGAAGGGTGGCACTGAGGCATCTCATTCCCGAGGAAGGAACGCCAAGCCTCGGCTCTATCAGAAGATGAGTGGGTCTGGTCCTAGGGACTGCCTCTCAGAAGCTATGGTGGAAACTACTGGGCTTTGTACCTGAGGTGACATCTGGAGTTCAATCACTTCCTCTCCTCTCGGGTTGAAGGAGTCAGGGGATTGCCGAACCACCAGGGTTGCTTGTGTCTTCTGCCCTCACCTCAGTTTAGCCTATAAGAGGAGCCCTTGCTACCTAACTTTTTGACTTATTGGGAGTGAGGTTGGCAAGGCGCCCTGGGGAGGTCATGCCTGACCAGGACCTCCCAATTCACAGTCACAACCTTCGGGCTTGCCGCATGAACCTGGACATTCACTTAGAAGTGTGTTACTCAGAGATCAGCACCAGCACCTTACCTCCTCCTTCTGCATTCTCACTGCTGTACACGTTTGCTGTATCCCGAAGGTCTCTCTGAAGACCCAGTGCTATGGTTAGAGCCCGATGCTTGGCCCTGGCCCTTCATACCTTCTTCCCCCTGCCCAAGGCACCCCCCGCACACCTACCCCTGTGCCTCAGTGTACTATATCCATCCATGGGGTTAATGGCATTTATCTACCTCTTGGGTGTCGTCTGAAAGATAGATCCATGCTTACGGATCTCTGAGCCTGCTGGGCCCAAGTGCCAGGGTGGAATGATGGGCCAGTTGTGTGTCAGCATGTCCGACCCATTGTCCTATGGACCTCATTTTAACTCCGTCTTCAAAATCTGAGAGGCCACAAGTGCCATTTTATCTTATTGTCACATCTGAAACCATGACAAGACTTGTTTAATATAAAAAAAAATGTATATAAGCACACCTGTTTGTAAATGCAATTCTATGTGTGCTTTTATTTGATAATCAAGGAAGGGGGACCATAAACAATGACACAGACTTGGGCTGGATAGACACACTGCTACCTGGTCTCATTCAGAGTGAGCTGCTGCTGCATAGCCAATGGGCCTGGAAGGGCTCTGCCTGGAAGCCTGTGAGGATGGACAGACGGACGTGCGGGGTCTTTCCTGAAGAGGAGGGAAACGGGTTGTTCCTTTTACTCCTAGCAATACCTCCATCACCAGGCGGTGTTCTGAGGCACAGCAGATCTGTGTTCTTTCTGATCTTGGCATTGTCATGAAGCAGCCTTGAACATCAATGGAGGCCATCTGCCGTCTGAGGCTTCATTTTCTAGTTGTCAGGATCGACTTGAATGAGTTGATCTTGAAAGGTCTCTTTCAGTATCCAGAGCCTAAGAATCTCAGACTCAGAAGGAGTCCTGCTGCTGCTATGGGAAGTATTGGTGATGGGAACCCACCAGCGGCTCTGCGGGAGAAAAGACCTGGCGATCGCTCCTGTCAGGATTGCAGCCTCTGGGGTAGTTCTAGCCTGTCCTCTAGGGCAACTGAGTTGGAATAGACTCAAAGACACCCAACCACAATCCCAACATTCTAAGGTTTTAGAGCTTACTGTGACACCAGCCAGGCAGCCTCAAGATTCTACAGGCTGTTGATGCTGTTTCTCAGCTGGGAGGTCTGAGCGATTTGGCTTTGGCCAGAGCCGATGTCACTCATTCTATGTCACCTTTCTCAGTGAAAAAGCCTGATTTCCCCCCGTCTCTCAGAACCCCTCTTCCATTTCTGTTAGCAGTTACATCTCCTGATATAGCATCTGAGCTCCATTTAGCTCTCCTTCCTTCCTTTGCACATATTTGTGTCTACATGTGAGGGAAAAGGAGTTCAAGCAAAGTAGCTGGAGCTTGTACACTGCATCCATGTGAAATCATTAAGAATAAACCACAGAATTAAGAATGGAGCAAATGACAGCCACCGGCTCATTCATGGAGCTTCTACCGATGGTTGGAAGGAGCTCTGGTGACACGGGGTTAAGCATTGGGCTCCTAATCACAGGGCCTGTGGTTTAATGTTCTCAGCTACTCTGCAGGAGAAAGATGAGGCTGTCTGCTCCCAAAAACACGGACAGTCTTAGAAACCCTATGGAGACGTTCTCATTTGTCCTATAGGGTTGCTTTGTGTTTCATTGACTTGACAGTAGAGAGTATGGTAGATATATGGGGAGGGGCGGAGAGGATCACACACCCAAGGAGTTTAGAACCCAAATATAGTTTTTGGCTACGGAGACATAGGATTCATTAGAGTAATAGTGGGGCATTCTCTTTATGCAGGATGGTTTATATGAAGAAACAATAACAAAGGGGTGCAAAGTGTATCCAGAGGAAGGAAACCTCACTAGGAATCCTGTCTAAGCTTCAGGAATGAGACTTATCGGCCTTGAAGAACGGTCCTCTCTGTCAATTGGGAGCTGTAATCGTAAGATAGCATATAGCCAAGCTTGGTGTCATGTTAGAAGAACAAAAAAATAGCATTTTAGTACCAGACAACACAGCCCAAATGAGCTATTTGCCCAGCTCTTTGGGAGATTATTCCTGTCAGTCTGTGGACAGCAGTGGGAAAGTTAAAACAATCCCGACTTCTGGATGACAGGTTGCCACATAGGAGTCACTTCTTTACCTCTCGGATAGTCCTAGAACATCCATTATTTTAACATACACTTTTTGTTCTTGGTACACGTTCCTGGTTGCAAGGACTAAAGTGCCTTTCTAACTTGCTAGCCACCTCCCTGCTTGAGTTGTGCAATGGTGCATGAAAAATGCGCCTAAAAAACCTGGCTGAAGGCAGTTCAGTGCTTCCTGTGTTACTTGTTTCATTTGGGCGAGGGAAAATAAAGTGTCATTTCCTCCAAGAACAATCATGTTCCTGAATGTTACAGAGTGGGGACTAAAGCTAATGTCAAAATTCAATCCAGTTCTTTAGACTTGAATAACAACATTTTCAAAATGAGTAGGTTGATTACTGCTCTTAGAGTTGGGCTTTACTTTATTGTTTTTTTTTTATTAAAAGATCATTTTATTGGGAGTTCTTACAGCTCTTATGACAATCCATACATCATTTGTATCAAGCATATTTGTACATATGTTGTCATCATTATTTTCTAAACATTTACTTTCTATTGAGCCCTTGGTATCAGCTCCCTCCCGAGCTGGGATTTTTAAAAAGGTTTATTTAGTAATTGTAGCACCGCCACAGAACCGAAGGCAAATTTCCTTTTGTTTGCAGCAAGTATAAGATGATTAAAAGAAAGTATAATGGCAAATTACTTATAAGATGGTTTTAGTGTCCAGCTTTCATTTAAGATAAGGGGTTTCAAAGTGTGGTCCCAGAACCAGCAGTATCCCTATCATTTGAAAACTTGTTAGACATAAAAAGTCTTGGGACCCAGCCATATCTAGCAAACATCATCTCAGAACTTGTTAGAAATGAAAAGTCTCAGGCCCCACCCATCCCTAGCAAATGAGAAAATCTGAGGCTGGAGTTCAACCATCTATTTTATTGACTATGGAAAGGCATTCGATTATGTGGCTCAATACTAACTATGAATCACCTTACGGAGAATGGGAATTCCAGAACATTTCACTGTGCTCATGCAAAACTTGTACATGGATCGAGGCAGTTGTGCAAACAGATCAAAGGAATACTGCATGGTTTAAAATCAGGAAAGGGGTGTGTCAGGATTGTATCCTAGCACCTTACTTATTCAATCTGTATGATGAACAAATAATTAGAGAAGCTGAATTATATGAAAAAGAATTCAGCATCAGGATTGGAGAAAAGTTTATTAACCTGTGACATGCAGATGTCATAACCTTGCTAAGTGAGAACACGAAGCACTTGCTAAAGAAGATCAAGGATTGTAGTCTTCTGTATGAATTACAACTCAGTATCAATAAGACCAAAATCCACTATTAGACCAATAGGTAACATCATGATAAATGGAGGGAAGATTGAAGTTGTCAAAGATTTCATCTTGTTTGGATTCACAATCAATGCTCATGGAAGCAGCAGTCAAGAGATGAAATGACATATTGCATTGGGTAAATCTGCTGCACAAGACCCCTTTGAAGTGTTTGAAAAGCAAGGGGATTACTTTGAGGACTACAGTGTGCCTGACCTAAGTCATGGTATTGGTTATTGCCTCATATGCATGTGAAAAGTGGACATTCAATAAGGAAGACTGAAGGAGAATCAATGCATTTGAATTATGGTACTGGTGAAGAGTATTGAAAGTTCCAAGCACTGCCAAAAGAACAAACAGGTCTGCTTGGAGGAGGTATGGCCAAAATGCTCTCTGGAGGCAGGAAGAGCTAGACTGGGTCTTGCATATTTTGGACATGTCAGGAGACGCCAGTGCCCGGAGAAGTAGAAGGGCAGCAAAATTGAGGCAGTCCTTCGACAAGATGGATTGGCACAATTGGTTCAAACATAAGAACAATTGTGAGGACGGTGCAGGACCCGGTGGTGGTCTGTTCTGTTGCACAGAGGTTCTCTATGCGTCTGAACGGACTTGAAGGCATCTAACAACAACAACAACAACAAAACTCTTGTAGCTGTGCTCATAAGTACCCAGAGGCATCTCACTCCTTCAGCAAACTTTGGCGGGAGGGTACTCGGTTCCAACTGCAGCTCCATCGATCAGCAAACCTAGCTCCACGACATGTCCAGAAGCATCCCCACTCTACCAGCAGGCCTTCAGCCCCAAAGCATTTGGCTTTTTTGCCTGGTGGTTCAGGAAGCCCAGACATTGCCTGTTGGTCTTCTGGGTCTCTGCTGCCATTTCTTTGTTGCTGTGTCTCACTATCTCTATCTGTCTTCGCAAGGTGTTCTAGAGCTCTCGCTCTATCCGGGGTCCAAAGGACAGGCTTTATTCCTGGCTCTTCAGGTGTGAGCTCCCACTTCCATCTCTGGGGTGGCTCATTTTGTCTAATAGAATGGCAAACTGAACCCCACATGAGGGTTCCAGACAATTTATGTGCACGGTTCCAGCCCAACAAGGATGCCGTGTACGTATGCGTACCATTAACAAGCTATCGAACCCCCTCGGTGGGCCACAAGCACCTCACATTTGCACAGTCCTTCCTAGTCATTTGGTAGAATTTGAAAGACTACGGCTAGAAGGACCTTCTCATGTAATTCATGGCACTGAAGATTCTGATGCACACTCAAGTTTGAAAACAACTGACAGAAGGAGTTAAGCATGTGACCTTTGGGGCTAGAAGGAAATTTATAGTAAGTCAACTCAGCGACTATAAGATTAAGACGATACCTTGGCTGATAGATTCAGAAAATCATATATTCACCCATAGAAAATAAAATTTTTCTTTTGACCCATCTTCCATGTTAAATGGTCGCAGGCTTCAGTCACACATTTGGAGTTGGGCACATGGCTACTTTGTACTGTCTCCTAGCCTCTCTTGCAGGTAAGTGTGTTGCATGTAGTTCAAACTATAAATTAAAGAGAGGCACAAGTTTTGTGTTTACTTCCTCATCACTTGGATGTCTCCACCGGGCTGTTTGAGTGTCCTTATGTCTGCTGGCTTCTAGAATGAGTATGCCAAGAGTGTAAGAAAGAAACCACTCCTTTGATGAATTTTTTAAGTGCCATCTTACCACTCTGTTATATTCTATTCATTGGGAGTAATTCCTCTTTTGTCACGAGACCAAAAGAACTGATGTCTAGCTTCCTTCACTGAACATTTAGCTCAATGTTCAAGGACCTCATAAGAAGAATCCTGACCAAAAGGGGAAGATGCAGAACAGAATTTCACATTCTCACAGGCTCTAAACTTTCTGGAATCACGGAGAGAAGATGACTGAAATGATTGCTGAGATGATTTGTAAACTTTAAATCAAAACTAGCCCTTTAGGTCAGACTAAAATATAACAATAGTTTAACTTCAACTAGTAAAAAAAGTTTGCCTTGAATATTATGCTTTCTTAAGAACGATCTATATGGGGTCAAATTGACACCAGCAACTCAGAAAGATTAGGTAGGAACCTTAGGAGACAATGAGTTTATGTTAAATGAGGGCGGAATAACTCAAAAGAGGTTATTCATAGAATGCAGTGTCACCAACTAATACATGCAGAAATTGTTGGTGTGTTCTTGACAAGAAATTAAACACCATTTAGGGGAGGGAAGCAGTTCATTAAATTCAGTGAAGGAACGAGGGCTTGAGTCACCTCGTGAAGGAAGGGGTACTCTGGTAGACAGTATATCGATCCTTCCCAAGAGCCCAGGCCCTCGTGTCCAGAACCTCTGAATATGCTGTTCCATCACATGGAGAACAAGCAACTTTGCCACTTTTAAGTTAATGAGCTTTCTTCCGCAGACCCTGTGGGTGCTGCTTGAATCTCCCACTGTATGATGATCTGCAGCCCAGAATTGGGTTCATACATTGCTGTTTGAAAATAACTAAGGAAGGTCAGGGAAATGGGTCTGTCTTTTCTTATGCTACATTATTTCACCTGCGGATGTACAAAGGAAACGTTTACTTACAAAGAGAGAAAACAACAACAAAACGTCCCTAGGACACAATTTAACCCAGCAAAGATTTAGTCTTAGAAACCCACAGGGGCAGTTCTGTTGTTTGGTACGGAAGGGCTTTCCATCATGTAGGACAAAGCACGGAGGGAATCTTCTGGATTGAATGGCGAGAGTCGGAGTTTTTCAACCAAAGAAGCGAAACTTGAAATGAGGCCAGATTATAGCGGGGTAGCACCAGAGCAAGAACAAGTGCGTGCGGGAAGTGTAGGAAGCGTGGAGAAGGGAGGGAGAAACCCAGATAGACGGTGCAGGAGGAAAAGCACGTAGAAGGAGCTTCTCGGCTGTATCCCGACCGGGGACCAGTGAGGTCACAGGCCCTTATGAGGTGAGACAGAGGAGAGGAACGAAGGGCGCGGTCGCGGCGCTTCCCAGTCTGCGGGCGGCGGCGGGAGGTCGGTGGCTCCTCCGACCCCAGAGCTCCTAGGCTGCGGCACGGACAGCAGCAGCACTAGCAGCCGGGCCCGGCGGGCGCGCACGCAGGCGCGGTCTGCCCAGTGGGCGGGGCGTCGGTCTCGGTCAGGTGACCTCGGGGGCGGAGACGCGCCGCACGGGATCCCGGGAAGGCGGTGGAGCGGGAGCGCCGCGCCCACCAAGGGCTGGATCCGCCGGGACAGCGGGAGAAGCGACGTGTGGAGGCCCGGGGTGGCGTGAGGGGTGCGGGCGGTCGCGGGGTCCCCTGGGCACGGATGTGGGGAGGCGGAACTCGCCTAGGGGCGGGAAGGTGGCGGACGCAGAGCTGAGGGGAGTGGAAGGGCCGGCTGAGGGGCGACCGGGCCCGAGGCTGTCGGTGCCTCCTAGTAGTTAGTGGTAACGCTCCTTTACATACCGCTTCCCCCGCTGTTTCCTCACACGTGTCGTTTATCCGTATTTTCTCACGCTTCTTTATTTTCCTCGCCAGTCATATGCTGCATAAGGCCAAGGCCTCTTGGACTAGCCCCCACAGCTCAGATTTGTTTGAGGTGGATAGTCCCTTAAAAATTGTGAAATAAAATATTTGGGAGTGATCAATTTAACAGAGATCTATGAGATCACAAAGTTCTGACAAGTCTCTGTCGAGGATTGGAAAGCCCTCTACTAAGAATCACTTGATCTGTATCCGAATTGAGCTAGCCACGAGATTTTGATTTTAAATATTCCTTTGATGCATCGAGTGCTCAATCCCTTACCACTTTTGTTCGTTTTATTTGTTTTTTAATCTTTTTATTGGGGGCACACGTACAACTCTTATCACAATCCTTCCAGCCACTGTGTCAACCACATTTGTACATTTGTTGCCATCATTTTCAAAACATTCTTTCGACTTGAGCCCTGGTATCAGCTTCTCATTATCTTTTGCTAGTTTTTGTTGCGTTACTCTGGGACAACCATGCTGTGATGAGCACAACTTTGGGAGTGGGATGGGAACCGTGGCCGGCATGGTAAAGGTGACTTTTCTCTGTTACTCCTCTCCTCCCAACTGGGACCAGAGCAAGACTAGGTGCCTTCCTCGA